TGGTTCTGAACATCTTTGCAGCTACAGACTTCTCCAATGAATTCTCACACTTTGAAAGTTAGGGTTTCAAAGGCTTGTTGACACCCTTAATTAAAGATTCTGGCTTCAATTGTGTTTCAGACCCTGCTGGCTGTGGGCTAGGAATGCCTGGGTCCTCAGCTGGGAGCTGAGGCATGATCTGCAGGCCTAGCACTGCTCTAAGGCAGGTCTCTGTCAGTAGATGCTGAGTCTTCTCCTATGTTCACTTGACTCAGGACATTCAAGAATTTAGTGTCAGAATACACTTAAATAGTAGAAGGATGGACTTACCACTGATTAGGAAGGAATGGCAGTAGAGGTTTGGGGAGGAGGGAAAGAGAAATCCCAGAACCCATAGAACTGTATCAGAAAATATTAAAATAAATAAATTATTTTTAAAAATGTTAGTGAGCTTTTTCCTGTGGAGGGGAGGAGGGGAAATAATGCATGATGTTTATGAGACCAGTTTGTGCTATTATGGGCACAGCAGCCTGCATGAAGCAGAGAGGAAAAATTGAAAGCTGCTCATCTACTGTCTGCCAGGTACCTCAAGTACATGGCACACATTTCTTTAATTTTAATTTACTTGAAAGGAGAGAGACAGAGACCTCTCTTCTACTGGTTCACTTCAAAATGCTTGCAACAGCTGAGTCAAAGTCAGAAGCTGTGAAAATCCAGCTCTCCCTTGTGGTGAAGGTAGGGACTTACCCACTCCAACCACCACCCACTGTGTCCCAGCACCCATGCTGGCAGGAAGCTTAAGTCAGGAGTAGACAGGGCTCAACTCAGGCATCCCAGTAGAAGACACTTCAACCACAGCAATCACCCGTTCCTGTTTGTTTTAATAAAGGGTTCAAAAGACCTCGTGGAATGAGTGGACTTGCCCGAAAGAGTCAATTTTTATGCTGACCAAATCAGTTTTGAAGAATGTCTCCCAAAGGCAATGGACTTTTTGTTGCGTTTTAGTTGATGTTGTGTGTTGGGCCATTATTCCTGGCTGATGTTAGGTTCTATTGTCTCTTCAGGCTACTCCCCCTGGTGGATAATACAACCATTATGGGAGCAGGGCAGCCATCCAGAGCCTAACACTCACTGGAAGATCTAGAAGGGAAGAGGAGGGGTGTAGACAGTGAGGCAGCAAGCAGGGACAGCAAAGCTTCGAGGCGCAGGCATCCAGCCACCCCTTCAGAACTGGAGATAAATGCAGATACACAAAGAACGTCCAAATGCTCATAGAAGATCAGTATTAATTAAAACCTATGCATGGATTTCAGTTCTTTTGGCATCAAGTTAAACTCATCAGTGTGGGTATTTGGCCAAGGGGTCAAGGTTCCATTTAGCAGGCCATGCACTCCCCCCCACCCCAGTGGGAGTACCAGGTTCAGAAGGCACTTCAGCCCCTTCTGCCAGCTCTCTGCTAAGGCAAACCCTGGGGAAGCAGTGGTGATGGCTCCAGTACATGGGCTCCTGCCACCTACCTGGAAGGTTTAGGCTGTTTTCCTTGTCCCTGGCATTTAAGTGTCTTCTTTTTGCAGCCAGTGCAGGCTTTTGAGGAGTGAACCAACATCTAAGGTGTGTCTGCCTGTTAGATATACATAGTAATATGTTTAAAAAACAAACATGTCGGACCCAGCATAGAGGCCTAGTGGCTAAAGTCCTCGCCTTGCATGTGGCAGAATCCCATGTGGGCACTGGTTAGTATCCCAGCTGCTCCACTTCCCTTCCAGCTCTCTCTTTGTGGCCTGGGAAAGCAGTGGAGGATGACCCAAAGCCTTGGGATCCTGCACACGCTGGGAGACCCAGAAGAAGAAGCTCCTGGCTTCAGATCAGTTCAGTTCCAGCTGAGGTGGTCACTTGGGGAATGAACCAACAGATAGAAAATCTCCCTCTCTGTCTCTTCTGTTTGTACATCTGCCTTTGCAATAAAATAAATAAAACAAATCTTTTAAAAAAAATCTTTAAATTCTGCTTTTCAACTCTTTGAGGTACACTAATAGGTATGTCTGTATGTGCGCACACACATTATATTTTTTTTAAGTTTTACTTATTTTTTTATTGGAAAAGCAGATTTACAGAGAAAAGGAGACACAGAGAGAAACATCTTCCACTGGCTGGTTCACTTCCCAAGTGGGCAAATGGCCAGAGCTGAGTTGATCTGATCCAAAGTCAGGAGCCAAGAGCTTCTTCTGTATCTCCCACATCTTGGGTACAAGATCCCAGGGAATCCACCATGGGGGGAGGGTTATAGGAGGGGTGGGGGGAATCCCCAGCGCCTATAAAACTGTACCACATAATACAATGTAAACAACAATAAAAAAAAAAAAAAAAAGATCCCAAGACTTAGGGCCATCCTTGACTGCTTTCCCAGCAGGGAGCTGGAAGGGAAGTAGAGCAGCTGGGATTAGAACCGGCTCTCTTATTGGATCCTGGTGAATGCAAGTCGAGGATTTTAGATACTAGGCTACTGCATGAGGCCCTGTTCCTTGTTAATTTTTACTGTGTTTTTCCAGGCTTGTCCACACTCATGTTCATTTATGAGACTTATCATACACATAATTTTGTCATCTACTTTTTTATTGTTTACTTTTCTTAGTATTTGTTTTTATTGGAAAGGCAGGCTTACAGAGAGGAGGGAAGACAAAAGATCTACCATCCACTGGTCCACTCCCCAAATGGCTGCCACAGCCAGAGTTAAGCTGATTCAAAGCCAGTATCCAGGAGCTTCTTCCAGGTCTCCCACGCAGGTGCAGGGTCCCAGGGCTTTGAGCCATCTTCTGCTGCCTCCCTTACCACAAGCAGGGGAATGGATCAGTAGCGGAGCAATTGGGACACAAACCAGATACCCATATGGGATCCTGACGCTTGGAGGTAGAGAATTTTCCAATTGAGCCATAGCATCAGGTCCTTGTGATCTATTTTTAAACTTAACATCATACAATCCTTTAATGATATTATTTAAGCATGTCTAAGTTAAATGTATTTCTGGTTTTTTTCAAGACCCAGAGAATTAAAAAAAAAAAAAAAAACACACTCTTGATATACTGAAGTATAACCTTCAAAACTGCTTTCTGTGCAAGTAAAGGCCTACAGATCCAATCAGGATCCTGATACACATGCTGCTTTAGTTCCTTTGTGCTACATCAATACATATATCAGAGCCATTTTAATGGTGTTATTCATACACCATAGTTCACTCATCCTACTAAAAACAGGCCATTGTTTCCGGTTCATCACTACTGTGAAAGTTCTCACCATCTTCTACATCAAGCTCGTTGCTAGACATGGAATTTGGTGGCTCAAAGTGAATACAACTGTAACATTTTTGAAGCACACCATTTGCCAAGTATTACTCTGGAAAGAAACACAGACAAGGCCAGCTTGACTAGCCTTACACATCTGCAAAATAATCCTAAATTAATGCACAAAGCTTCCAGATTTAAGACAAAGTGAAATTTTTTGTTTTGCTTCAAAATCAAAAAAATCAATCACTGGCCAGGCACAATAGCCTAGCGGCCAAAGTCCTTGCCTTGCACGTGCCAGGATCCAATATGGGCACCGGTTCTAATCCTGGCAGCCCCGCTTCCCATCCAGCTCCCTGCTTGTGGCCTGGGAAGGCAGTCGAAGGCAAGCCCATGGGACCCTGCACCCGTGTGGGAGACCCGGAAGAAGCTCCTGGTTCCTGGCTTCAGATGGGCTCGGCTCTGGCCGTAGAGGCCCCTTGGGGAGTGAATCATCAGACAGAAGATCTTCCTCTCTGTCTCTTTGCCTCGCTGTATATCTGACTTTGCAATAAAAATAAATAAAACTTTTTTTTTGTTTGTTTTTAAAGATGAGAAGTGTTAAACAAGGTGGCATGGAGACCAGGTTGGAGCAATGTTCGGGACTCAAAGGGAACTGGTCCAAACCTCGGGATCTCGGGGACCCCGGGCGGTGAAGCAACCAAGCACGGGCTCCCTGTTCAGTGCACGTCGTGCCGCCAGATGGCACGGGGGTCGGGGTCGGGGCTGTGGGTGAGGTGGAATCGGGACCTGGCACCCCTAGCTGGGGAAAATTGGGCCCCTATCCTGGATGACACGGAGGGAGCCCCGGCGCACGGGACTCGGCCTTCTTGGCAAGAGGATGCGGCTCGAGCCTGCGCCCCGCCGTTGCAACCGTCTTCCCGTCGGAAGCAGCGGCAGACGCGAGGGGCCGCCCTGGCTCGCCCCAGCGCTTCCCAGCGCCCGCGGGCCGGCCGGGCAGCTGAGACGCGGACACCCCGGCAAACCCCGTCTCCTCTCTGCCTGGGGCCTCGACGCCGCAGGGGCTACGCCGTCCAAAAAAGCCGGGATGGTGGGCGTCAGAGCTGAGTCCCCGCGCCCCACTTGGCGCCCGTGCATGGCAGGCAAGTTAGGTGGGTGTCTGTGAAAATGGGTCACTGCCTGCACCGTCCCCAGGTAGGGTGGAGTAAGGACTCAGGAAACAACGCACTGCTGCCGGCGTCGGTGCCCACTTGGCCTTAAAAAAAGTGACCAGGGTCTCCCCGCTCCCCAGCCCCAGCTGGGAGAAGCACAGCCTCTTAACCCTGGGTCCTAAATGCTGGGCTTGGTCCTCACTCTTAAGGAGCCCTGCACGTCCCATCCACACGCAGGAAAACGTGTCAGGTGTGACCAGCGCGCAGCGTCAGTGGTCCTATAGTTCTCTTGGGTGTGGACATGGTACTGCTCCTGCCCGGCCAGCGTAGGCTTCCTGCAGTGTGCCTGAAGGGTCCCTCAGCGTATCCCTGGGGGTGCGCGACCCCATCTCCACCTCCACCCTCGTGCTGCAGACTGGGGGCGAGGGCGGGGGCGAGCGCTGTGTATTGGCAGTTGCCATGGTGTTGCTCGTTCTGGAGCTCACCTGCCCACTCACTCCCCGAGAGGCTCAGGTCGGGGAAGCAGTGGGTCAGAAGCCTGAGGGGGACTTGAGCAGGGCCACCTCGGAGTCTGCCGGCACCCCGTGTTGAGATGGAGGCCTCGGATTGGCAAGGAGGAGAAGGGAGCAAGCTGCTAGAGAAGGTGATGGTGGGAGGGGCTCTAGGGGTAAGAGAAAGGAGAGGCCGAGGGACTGATGGTCTGGTTTTGGAAAACTGAGGACTAGAAATTCAAGGAGGAAGAGACAGGGGTACCTAGAGGAGCGGGCAGTGGGAAGAAGAACACAGGGATTCAGACAAGGGTTTATGGAGGACACCAGGTCCTGGCAGAAGGACAAAAGGGAGCCCCAGCCCCGTGCTGGCCGTGAGCATCCACCGCTGTGGAGGCATTATGGGGTATGTGTGGTTGTGGCAGTGTGGGGTGCATGACACGTTTACATCCTCCAACCAGGGTCCCCTCTATTTACGGCCTCTGGGAGCCTCTGTCCTGTCACTTCTCCAGCCTGCCGCATCGTCTTCTGTGGTGATCTCCCCAGAGAATGATCTGAGGTTGCATCTTTCTTGGGATCCCCTAGAACACAGACAGGAATTCTGCCTGCTTTTCTGAAAGGCCCGTGGGAGCTGAGGTGCATCTCCAGGTGTCAGCCCTGTCCTACGTTCTGACCTGCAATGCCCCTTTCTAGCCACTGTGTCACGAATTTCCTCCTTTCTTTGCCCCACTTTGAAATAAAAATGCGTTTTCTGCTCATCACCATCGTCCTGTTCCACAGCATGATGTGAAGATGGGGCCCAGGCAGCCGGTCCATGTTTGCTGAATGAATGAGTAGACAAACCCCACTTGGGGGAAAAGTCGAAAAGTTCCTATCAGGTGTTTTGCAGGGTTACCTAGCATGCTGTGGTGAGCACAAAGGGAGAGGTGGACCACTGTGAGTGTATGTGTTTAGAGATGGCTTTTATTGCCCAGTGCTCAGTCATTGCTGTTCTGGGGCAGGAAGGAAGACACTGGGAGAATGGAGACGGGCCTGGAGAGTCCTTGGGGCCATGAGTTTGCCCATCCTGGTCTCAACACTTGTGGCTCCTGCCCACCCTCCATCCCTGCTGACAGCACCCTGCCTTCTCTCAGGGGACAAGTGTGTCCTGTGCAAGGAGGAGCTCCAGCTGCAGTCCCCTGGGACAGTCACTCGTGTGCCATGCTGAGGGCTTGGGCCAGGATGCCTTCAGGATTGTGAGTTGAGGGGCCAGTGTGCAGCCCTATCCTGTGCTCCCCCATGGCTGAGGGAACCATAGTCGGGAAGACCCCGGCCTCTCGCCCACATCTCTCTGCTCCGCTTGTCATGCCCTTGGGAAGGAAGTGGGGTGAGAGGTCCCCTGGAGCCTCCTCCCTGCACAGCCCTCTCTAGGTCTCAGAGGGCAGCAGCCAGGTCCACGTGCCTCACCTCTTTTCCCACACTCCTCAACCCCCTCCCCAGTGTAAAGAATACCTGAGGCCACTGAAGAAGTTCCTGCGAAAGTTGCACCCTCCCAGGGACCTGCCTCAGAAGAAGCAGCTGAAATACAGGAAGCAGAGCCTTGTGGTCCTCGGGGACCACATCAACACCTTTCTGCAGCACTGCTGCCGGTCCTGGGAAATCAAGCACTGGAGGAGGTAAGGCCGCCCGTCCCGCGGCCGTGTCACCCCTGTCACCCCTGTCCTTCAGCCCTGTGTCGGGGAGGCGGGGCTCCTGGGGCAACACCTAGTGGAGCAGATCCCTTCTACAACCTGGGGGGGTGGGGGCGGGCCCTCTGCTGGAACAGCTACTGTGTACAGTGCAGACTGTCCAAGTTCTGGCCGACCCCTGCCCCTCCATCCTCCACAACCGAAAACCAGGAAAGCAGCAGGCAATCCCATCCTCCCAGGGCGGAGCCTGGCCACAGAGCTGCACAGGAGGGGTAGAGTGGGGAGTGTGTGCCCACTGCCTCAGCACCGTCTCTCCCTGCAGGATGCTCTGGCGATTTGTCTCCCTCTTCTCAGAACTGGAAGCAAAGCAGCTGCGCCGGCTCTATAGGCACACCAAGAACAGCCAGGTGGCCAAGTCCCAGGTGAGGCAGGCAGGGCGGCTCCTGCGGGGTGGCTGACATGGGCAGATGTGTCATGGTCACGAGCTGGCCTGGAAAGACCCTCTGCTCCATTCCATAGCTCACTGCCTGAGGAACACCCGGCTGCCTCTACCTTCATCATTGCACCAGCCACAGAGCGGGCAGATCCAAGAAGGCAGAAGTTTAGCCTGAGCACACACAACCTGGTATTCACAGGGGCAGGGATGTCCCTGAGGAGCCTTTGGTGAGGACACTTGAAGCCAGGTCGTATGGTACCGTGAACTTAGGGAAGTCTCCAGGGACTGGCAACAGAACCTGGCCTGGCTTGTCCGGAAACGATGGCTTTCATCGTTTGGTCTCCAGCAGTGTTCATCCCTGGGTGGCACGGGGATTTGGTGCAGTAGATAAGGTGCCATTTGGAAACATGCACATTCCTATCAGACTGCCTGAATCACTCTTGGTTTGGCTTCTTTTTGCTTCCCCCCCCCAACAAAGATTTATTTATTTTAATTGGAAAGGCAAATTTACAGAGAGAAGGAGAGACAGAAAGATCTTGTTTCTGCTGGCTAACTTCCCAAATGGCCTTAATAGCTGGAACTGAGCCAATCCAAAACCAAGAGCCAAGAACGTCCTCCAGGTCTCCCACGCGGGTGCAGGGTCCCAAGGCTTCGGTCCGTCCTCGACTGCTTTCCCAGGCCACGAGCAGGGAGCTGGATGGGAAGTAGAGCAGCCAGGACACAACTGGTGCCCATATGGGATGCTGTATTTGGAGGTGGAGGATTAACTAATTGAGCCATTGTACCGGCTCCTTCTTTTTGCTTTTTTTTTTTTAAGATTTATTTATTATTTTTATTGGAAAGACAAATATACAGAGAGGAGAGACAGAGAGAAAGATCTTCCATCCATCGATTCACTCCCCAAGTGGCCGCAACAGTTGGAGCCGAGCCAATTTGAAGCCAGGTGCCAGAAGCTCTTCTGAGTCTCCCATGTGGGTGCAGGGTCCTAAAGCTTTGGGCCGTCCTCAGCTGCTTTTCCAGGCCACAAGCAGGGAGCTGGATGGGAAGCAGGGCTGCTGGGATTAGAACTGCACATATGGGATCCCAGTGTGCAAGGCGAGGACTTCAGCTGCTAGGCTACTGTGCCAGGCCCTTATTTTTGCTTTTAAAAATAAACAAATACATAAATAAATAATGTAATAATTTTTCGAAAGGCGGTGATGGAAAGAGAAAAAGAGAGTGAGCCAAACTAGAATCAGAGCCAGAGCAATGTTCCATTTGCTGGCTCCTTCTCCAGATAGCTACAGCAGCCCGAGCTGAGCCCAGCTGCGGCTAGGACCAGGAACGCTAGATCCATATGTCCTTCTGTGGGTAGCAGAAGCACAAGTACTTGGATTATCTTTTGCTGTATTAGCAGGGAGCCAGATCATAGCTGGAACTTGAACCAGCGTTCTGATGGGATGCCAGCATCACAAGTAGCAGCTTGATGTGCTGCATACAGTGCTGCTCTTGGCTCAACCTCTGATCTTGCTCCTTGCTAATGCATGCTCTGGGGCAGCAAGTGGTGTCTGTGCCACCCACCTCAGATACCTGGATGGAGTTCTTGGCTTTGATTCCCTCCACCATGCTGTTGCAGGTGTCTGGGGACTTTCAGCTTGATCATCTCTCTCTTTGTGTTACTGTGTCAAATAATGGTAAAAATAAATTTAAACCCCTCCCTCCCCAGCCTTACTCTCAAGTGGATGAGCTAGAGCCTCTGTCTTGCTTTTTCTTATCCACCCCCCCCCGCCTCTTCCCCCTCTTTTTTTCTCCCTTTTTCTCCCCTTCATCCCTTTCAGCATTTCCCCTCGGAGGCGCTTCCCCAGGGCAGGGATAGAGCCGGTCTCACCCACCTCCCATAGCCTCTCCCTGGCCGCTGCCCCATAGCAAGGGAGGCTCTTCCTCACCCGGGTACCAGCGGCCTCAGAATCAGCATGAAACTACCTGGCGAGTGTCTCGCTCAGCGCCAGTGCCCCAACCCCAGGCCCAGTTCCCTTCTTCTCTCCTCCTCAGTCGGGGGTGGGGGGCCTGCCCCAGTGTCACGCTGAGGAAAAATGAGGTGGAAACGGCCCCTCATGACTCCGTGTCACCACTGTGAGGTCTACAGCTCCGCGGGGGATGGAGGAGGAGCAGGAGGAGGGAGAGGAGGAGGAGGAGGGAGAGGAGGAGGAGGAGGGAGAGGAGGAAGGAGAGGAGGAAGGAGAGGAGGAGGAGGGAGAGGAGGAGGAGGAGGGAGAGGAGGAGGAGGAAGGAGGTGGGAGAGGAGGAAGAGGGAGAGGAGGAAGAGGAGGAGGAGGGAGAGGAAGAAGGAGAGGAGGAGGAGGAAGGAGGAGGGAGAGGAAGGAGAGGAAGGAGAGGAAGAGGAGGAAGAGGAGGAAGAGGAGGAGGAGGTAGCTACATCAAGTTGCGTGGCAGGCAGCTCTGAAGGATATCATGAAGTTTCCAGGACCTTTGAAAAACCAGAGATTGTCTTTCTTATTGGAAAAGGCAATCTCTAGAGAAGCCCGGTTGGGGAAGGTAAATGTGCCAACAAATAGAATGTTTCTCCATCCCAGAGAGATGGAGGAATTCGGTGTCTGGTCAAACTCAAGTACTAATTCAATCTTCACCCAGAAACATTTGCTCTGGCCAGCAGTCTTTTGGATAGGTTTTTAGCTACTGTAAAGGCCCACTTGAAATATTTGAGTTGTATTGCCATCAGCTGTTTTTTCCTAGCTGCCAAAACTGTTGAAGATGAAAGAATTCCAATATTGAAAGTATTGGCAAGGGCGTGGTGTGGTGGCCTAGCAGTTAAAGTCCTCGCCTTGAACGCACCAGGATCCCACAGGGATGCTGGTTCTAATCCCGGCAGCTCCACTTCCCATCCAGCTCCCTGCTTGTGGCCTGGAAAAGCAGTCAAGGGTGGCCCAAAGCCTTGGTAGCCTGCACCCATGTGGGAGACCCGGAAGAAGCTCCTGGCTCCTGGCTTCGGATCGGCTCAACACAGGTCATTGTGGCCACTTGGGGAGTGAAACAGCAGACGGATCTTGTCTCTCCTTATGTCTGTAAATCTGACTTTCCAATTAAAATTTTTTAAAATTCTGAAGTAATTATAAAAAAGACAAGACCTTCTAATCATGAAATTGTCATAAATAAATCTATGTCTAAAAGCTCAGCAAGTGGCAGTTTCTTAACTGCAGCATAGAATCTGACTCAGATCCGATGAGCTTTGTAAAATGCTAGATGTTTTAGTTGTAGCAGTTTTAGGTTCACAGAAGAGCTGGCCACACAGGCAGCATCCTGTGGTACTGTAAGTGACCTTCCATCTGCTGGCTGCTCTCACACTTCACATAGCAGCCAGAACACTTTGACTTTGCTTAGTGCCACTGTTGCACTGAAAACAAGATTCTGTTTTTGCAAAAAGAAAGGGCAGGATCTTAAATTCAAAACAACCCACAAAGAAACAGTTAACAGGCTGGACTCTCTGTCCCCTAGGTCCCTGGTCTTGCACTGCTATGCTTCACACTCCATCTGCTCAGCTAGGCACAGATGAGATGTAGATTCTTCTCAAGTTCAGGGCTGGGGCTCTGGAATCCGGGTCGCTTTCTTCTGAGCACTGTGTCCTCTTGCAGGTGTCATTCTGCCCTCTTGACACACCAGAGAGTTCCCTGCTTGCTGCTGGTGAAAACAGCCTGCCCAAGCTGTGCAGTGGTGCAGTGCCTGGGGACTACAGGGCAACATCAGCGGCATGAAGGAGAGGCTGTCCAAAATGCACGTCCCGCACCAGGAGGCCACCCTGCTACAGGAGCCGCTGGCCCAGGCCTGGAGAGGTAATGCCCATTTGGGGGGTGTCTGTGTTTGGCAGGGAGTAAGGGGGATGCCAGCAGGCACTGGGTATTTCGCTGGCACAAATTCAGGCAACCAGGAGCCCTGGCCAGGAGGCTGACACGTTCCTTTTTCTCCTTGCCATCTTTACTTCATCTTGCATTTTTTGTCTTGCTTTCCTTCCCTTCCTCTGCTTTGTCTTTTCTCATTTTTGCTGTCTACCCTGATATGCTCATTATAGAAAGTTTAAAATGCACAGGTAGGGTAAGCATTGAAGTACTGCAGGTAAAGCCACTGCATTCCCTACAGGAGCAGGGGTTTGAGTCACTGCTGCTCCACTTCTCCAACTTGCTGCTATGTTTGTTTCGGCAGCACACATCCTGTGTGCACAGGGCTTCAGGTGGAAAGTCCTGGCGGGCAGTGTCCCACAGGCCCTCTTTCTGGCTGGGATACGTTAGACAGGAGGCTGTCTGTGTGCTTGCTGTGCCCTAGCAATGCCAGAAAGCCACCCCAAGCAGAATAGACATAGGTCCCACATCTCCCCATGTTCTCAGCAGGAGCCTGAGGTATGAGAGGGCATTCTGCTCATGATGATGGTGTTTGCTGACAGCCCTGCAGCACAGTGTCCTAGGAGCCAGGTCATGACAGCTGAAGGACGGGTAGGAGGAGACAAAGGCCTGGAGGTCTGGGTCTGTGCAGCCCACGCCCCTAAGTTGTTCTGAACACTTCCTTATCCGTGCCAGGTGAGAGTGCACTGTGCTCAGGGGCGACAGGCTGCATCCCCCTGCCTTGTGGGGTCTCTGTAAGAAGAGCAGCAGGGCTGTAGACTGAAGGTTGAGGTTCTTCCTGTCTGCTCTCTCTACCCTCCCATGTGTGACAAATTGATTCTCTGCGATATAATCTGCACTGTCTCTTCATCAGGTTCTTCAAAGAAACTTCCCCAGGAACCAATAGTCAAGTGGAAGAGGATCAAGGAAGCCCCTGAAATTACAGAGAGCAGCTGCCTATAAGAGGATTGGCTGGGACAGGGGCGGTGGTGCTGGCGCCCAGAGCCCGGTGTGGCTCCCACAGCTTGGCCCCTGGAGCCAGGGGGGCCGTGGAGGGAAAGGGAGAACCGGTCCCCCTCATCCTTCTCAAAAGTATGCCAGGTCTTTAGTGTAAAAGACCGATTGGGAAATAAATGTCCTTGACATAATGCTATCTTACCTGGGCCAGAGTCATCATGTAGTTTTGACTAGATAGAAGTGATGTGCCAACTAATGGCCAGGTGGCAGGGGTATCACCTATGCTAGGATGAGTAAAATGTGGGCACTTGGGTACTGGGCCAGCACACTGTGGTGGGGAGACAGACACGCGGTGCACACCTCCATGTGGTGAGGTCAGGGACTGTCGAAGGCCTGGAGGGAACAGGGCACTGATGCCTGCTTGCCAGCAGGGAGCCTGTGGGGGTGGGGAGAGCCTGGGGTGGGTTAGAGAGCAACAAGCTTGGCAGTGTGCCCAAGTCATTCTGCAGGCAGGCAGTGTCAGGGGAGGTAGTAAGCAGTGTGTGATCACAGGCAGAGGGCATCACCATGAGGGGCTAAGATCAGTGACCAAAGAAACAGCACTGACACACTCAGTAGAAACGGCTGTTCTGGGCAGTCAGAAGGCTGATACATGTGCTTTCCCTGGTCTACTTGTTAGCATTTTAAAGGGACAGTTTTTTTTTTTTTTAAGATTTATTTTTATTATTTTTCTATTGGAAAGACAGATATACAGAGAGGAGAGACAGAGAGGAAGATCTTCCGTCCGATGATTCACTCCCCAAGTGAGCGCAACGGCCGATGCTATGCCGATCCGAAGCCAGGAGCCTCTTCCGGGTCTCCAACGCGGGTGCAGGGTCCCAAAGCTTTGGGCCGTCCTCGACTGTTTTCCCGGGCCACAGGCAGGGAGCTGGATGAGAAGCAGGGCTGCTGGGATAGAACCGGCGCCCATATGGGATCCCGGGCATGCAAGGCAAGGACCTTAACCACTTGCGCCACCGTGCCGAGCCCAGGGACAGGTTTTTGTAGTAGTAGCTTTGTTACCACTTTGGGATCCTCACATCCCATATTAGGTATTGGCTCCACTTCTGATTTCAGCTACCAGCAAACACATACCCTGGGAGGCAGCAGTTGGCTCAAGGAATTGAGTCCTTGCCATCAATGTGTCCCAACCTACTTTACCATGGGCATTTGGGAAGTGAACTAGTAGATGGAAAATCTGTCTCTATCCATTTCTTTGCCTTTTAAATAATGTTTCAGGACTTTTTTTATTTGAAAGACTTGCAGAGCCCACGGCGTGGTGGCCTAACAGCTAAAATCCTCACCTTGAACGCACCAGGATCCCATATGGGCTGGGAAAGCAGTCGAGGATGGCCCAAAGCCTTGGAACCCTGCACCGTGTGGGAGACCTGGAGGAAGTTCCTGGCTCCTGGCTTCTGATTGTCATTGCACCAGCCATTGCAGTCACTTGGGGAGTGAATCATCGGACGGAAGATCTTCCTCTCTGTCTCTCCTCCTCTCTGAATATCTGACCTTGTAATAAAATTAAATAAATCTTGAAAGAAAGAAAGGAAGGAAGGAAGGAAGGAAGGAAGGAAGGAAGGAAGGAAGAAAGAAAGAAAGAAAGAAAGAAAGAAAGAAAGAAAGAAAGAAAGAAAGAAAGAAAGAGAAAAATTTACAGAGAGGAGAGACACACAGGGAGATGATCTTTCTTCTTCCGGTTTGCTCCCCAAATGGCTACAACAGCTGCAGCTGAGCTGATCCAAAACCAGGAGCCAGGAGCTTCCCATGGGTCTCCTATGTGGAGGAAGAGGTCCAAGGCCTTGGGACGTCCTCCACTGCTTTCCCAGGCCACAAGCAGGGAGCTGGATGGGACATGGAACAGCTGGGACATGAATTGGCACCCATATGGGATGCTGATTACTGCAGGTGCAGGATTAGCCTGTTGAGCCACTACACTAGCCCCTGTCAAATAATTTCTAAAAAATTAATTAGTTGCCAGTGCTAAAATGAGTTGTGTTTCACATTTGAAAAAATAGGTTCATGATTTCTCTAAGTAAAAACTCTCTACCCCTGTTCCCCCACCCCCCCACCAAGCGACTGTATGTCATCAAAGACTTGGCTCCTGGACCCTCCCTCAGGTGACATCACCTGTCAGCCTCGAACCCTGGCTACTTGAGCCTCCAGAGTACGCCAAAGCCAGGCCAGTGTGCACAAAAGGGATTTTAGTGAGTTTGTGAGAAAATAATAAGACAGAGTTTCCAGTGACCAGCCAAGAAATGAGAGAGAAGGGAAGGGGGAGAAAGGGAAGCTGGCATACAGCTTCGGGCTAGGGAGACAGAACAGATGTTGCCAACTCCAGAAGGGCAGGGGCTCCAGCCACTACCTCACGCCACAGGCATTGGGTCAGCCAGGCTGAGGCCAAGGTGGCAGCAGGTGCGGGCAGGGTGACTATGCCGCTTTCTCGCCCTTCAGCAGGTCTGTGCTCAGCAGGGGAGATGGCTACAGGCTTTGAAAGTGCAAGTGAACAAGGCTGTGGTGTAGCATGTAAAGCCCACTGTATGCAACTCCAGCAACCCACTGAGTGCTGGTCTGAATCTTGGCTGCTCTGCTTTTGATCCAGTCCCCTGATAATGTACCTGGAAAAGCAACGGAAAATGGCTCAAGAAGTTGAGCCCTGCCACCCACATAGAAGACCCAGAAGAAGCTCCCTGGTTCCTGACTTTGGCATGGCTCAGCCCCTGGCCTTTATTTTGTGATGGAACCGTGGATAAAAGATGTGTGTGTGTGTGTGTGTGTGTGTGTGTGTGTGTGTGTGTGTGTGTGTGTGTGTAACTCTTCAAAAAACACAGTTTTAAAAGAAAGTGAACATGAGCTGTGTCTTGAGAACCAGTGTGCAGGGAAGCATGAACAAGCAAGGACAACTCTCTCTCTCTCTTTCCAAATCTAGAGCTTCTGAGGAGAGAATGGAAGAGGAAGCTGAGGCACAGGCCGGCAGCCAGCCCCTAACAGTTTGCGCAAAGCCTAGATGATGTGGGAGAGAAGGGTGGGCAGGCAGTCGGGCGAGGCCAAAGGGACCCCATATGCAGGGCAGCAGCACCACCTAGAGAAAGGAAAGGATATTGCCGTCTCATTTTTTCCAAGAGCCTGCAGCCTTCCATGAGTCTTGGCAGCCATGGTGGTTTCAGGGCAAGATGGGCTGTGAGTCAGGCTTGGCTGTGATGGTCTCTTCTAAAAAGGCAGGTCATATTTTGTTGTTTTGCTGAAAATCCTCCAACAGCACAGAGAAAAAGTTGAAGTCTACAAGAACTTGCAGGAAAAGCCCTTTAAACTCTGCCCCACCATCTCCTGCATGCCCTCTCCTCATTATTACCAAGCCTCCTCCTGCCTCAGGCCTTCACACGTGCCTTTCCCTGTCTGAAGACTTTCTCTGCTATATTTACTTGGCTAGCTCCCTCATGGCCCCCCAGTTACTCAAAGCAAATACTTAAATACTTATTCTCTCCATGCATCAGCACTCATTCATATTATGCTTTGAAAGTCATGGCTTACCCTGCAAGTCAGCAGGTATTTTTGAGAGTTAAATTTAGCAAAATCCATATAAAATAAATAAGCATGCTCTTGTGTTAACTCACAAGAAAATGCCTTCAAAACTAAGCTGTGTCAAAGGTTCTGCACTAAAATGAAGGAAACCTGGGCCACAGGGACACCGATTATAGTTCAATTACTTACTCTTGTTCCCGCTCCACATGATGTGATGAAAATAGAAGGTGAAGCCCCCCACCACCCGCAGCTGCTTTTTGCCGTGACATCCTGTACAGAGATTTCCTCTAGGGGGCGCGCTCTCTCTGCTGAGCGCGGGTCCTAGTTCCTCCTGGGGCCGAACTGTCAGGCTGTTGTTGGGAGACTGTCTTTTTAAAGGGTTGCAGCTTTTCCAAAACTCCCCGGCCACTTCCTGCTGAAAACCGCAGCCCTTTTCTGCTCTTCACGACCTTCTTGCTTACCCTCATCTGCCAATACCACCACCAGATCCACAACCACCACTGTAGAGACTCCCTGAGCTTCTTCCACCAAAATTGTCCCATTTCCTGGATCCGTAATTCTAGCACAGCTGTCCATTGCTAACTTCCAGTGTCAGCCCAGTTCCCACCACTGTGATGATGGTCCAAAATTTCCCCTTCCACTGGAGCCATCAGCTGCTTCTCTACCACAGCCATGTGTGGGCCAGTATCACCACAGCTGCCTCTGCTACCAAAACCGGTGTTACTGCCGTTTTGCCACTTTCCTCCCCACACTGCTGCTGCCACAGCCTCCTCTTCTACTGCAGCTGGAATTTCCTCCACGACCCTGGAGGCTGCCACGTGTGCTGCCTGTGGTTTACAAAGGACCCTTTTCACTTTACAGCCATGCCCGTTAAGAGAGCAGTTTTCCATAGCATATCATCAGCAAATTTTCCCACTTCGCCTTTCATGATCTTGCCATGCTTTCCCAAAGCAGTCTCTGCTCCTACCCCTCTGCTTCTTCTTTACCACTGTCAGTGACGTGGCCCCGGGCGCTAGGCCTCCCTCTCTGGACACAGGCCTCTGGCTTCAGCTTGTGCTTGCAGCCTGTGTTGCAAGCCCCCGCTGCTGCACCCACCTTTTCCATGCAAGAGCTAATCACTGAAGCTCAGACCAGCGGGTTCCTCAGTGTGTTTAGAACCTGGCCCTCCTTTCCCCAGTACCAGTGACAGCTGGTGACAAGGGTTATGGGTAACAAGGTAGAGGGGTGGTGGATGTAACTCCATTTTGAGACTGGACTCATTCAGCTAGAATTCAATCTATACTAAGCATTTAAACTAAACAGTTTTTAAAAGACCTATTCATTTATTTGAAAGACAGAGTTATAAGGACGAAGAGAAATTTTCCGTTCACTGGTTCACTGGTAGCAATGGTCAGAGCTGGTCAAGATTGGAGCTAGGAGCTTCATCTGTTTCTCCACTTGTGCTATTCCCATCGCTCTTCCCAGGCCATTGGCAGGGAGCTGGCAGGGAAGTGGAGCAGCTGAGACTCAAACCAGTGCTTAGATATAAGATGTCAGTGTTATAGGTGGCAGCTTAACTGCTGTCAGTCATATGCCTGCCTTTCATGTTTCTTGGAGCTTGGCCCTAATGATACAGAAGGAACTTAATGTAAACTACTATTTAGTAGTGACTGATGCCATTAAGAAAGGAGTTTCAGAGGCTGATGCCACGGTGTGGAAGCTAAGCTTCTGCCTGTGGCACCATCATACTTCACGGGTGCAGGTTCCACTTCTGACTGCTTCACTTCTGAACCAGCTCCCTGATAATGGCCTAGAAAATTAGCAAAAGATGACACAAGTCCTTGGGCTCCCTATGCACCTACATGGGAAACCAGAGGAAGCTCCTGCCTTCTGGCTTCAGACCAGCCCAGCTCTGGCCATTGCCGTCTCTCCTCTTGCAGCAAAGCTTCAAAATTTAAAAAAGGGGGGAGGTGGTGAGAGCATGTCAGAAGTGAGGTGAGAAAACCTCTCAAAGCAAAGTCAACATTTCTGGAAAGCTTTTCAAAACCACCAGTGGCTCTACACCTAAACAGGAAAGGCGTGCTGAGATGCTTGGTTTCTGTTCACTGGGTTTCCCAGTTTGCTGACGAGCCACTCCTGCTGCAGCCGGCACTGCCATCGCCAGGCAATTAGCCACTGTGTCAAGTGCTGTGTTGGTGAGATTTATGTCCTAGCTTCCAGATGAGCATGGAAAGCAAAACTTCAACACGAGCTTACAGGAAGGCACTGTGTTGCAGCAGTTGTTACTCCTTTCCTGTATGAAGAGTGTCAGTATTCAACTCCTGCCTCTTTTTATGCAGCTCCTTGCTAATGCATGATATGTCCTGCTATGGCAGCATATATAATGGATCAAATACTTGGGGAGATGGTAGAGATACTGTCTCTGTTACCTTTTTTTTTTTTTTAAGATTTATTTATATTGGAAAGTCAGAATATACAGAGGACGATCTTCCATCCGATGATTCACTCCCCAAGTTACTGCAACAGCCAGTGCTGTGCCCATCTGAAACCAGGAGCCAGGAACCTCCTCTGGGTCTCCCACGCGGGTGCAGGGTCCCAAGGTTTAGGGTCGTCCTCAACTGCTTCCCCAGGCCACAAGCAGGGAGCTGGATGGGAAGTGGAACTGCCGGGATTAAAACCGGCACCCATATGGGATCCCGTTGCATTCAAGGAAAGGACTTTAGCTGCTAGGCCACGGCACCAGCCCCCAAAATAAATAAATCTTAAAAAAATGGTGTCCTTATGTGATAGTGCCTTGAGGTAGAGAATGAGCCCATTAAACTATTGTGCCACCACCCCCCCATAGTTCCACTTCTGATCCAGCTCCTTGCTAAAGCTTCTGGGAGAGCAACTGATAACGACCCAGTATTTCGGTCCCTGCACCCCAGTGGGAGAACTACTTGAAGCTCCTGCTTTGGCATAGTCCAGACTTGGCTTCCGTGGCTATCTAGGGATGAACCAATGCATGCAAGATTTTTCTCTTCCAACGTAACTCTGCCTTTTTAAGGAAATAATCAAAATCTCTTATTAAAAACAAAAGGGCCCGGTGGAGTAGCCTAGTGGCTAGTTGCTTTGCATGTATTGGGATCCCATATGGGTCCTGGTTCTAATTGTGGTGGCCCCACTTCCCATCCAGCTCCCTGCTTGCAGCCTGGGAAAGCAATCAAGAATGGCCCAAAGTGTTGGATTCTTGCACCCGTGCAGGGGACCCAGATGAAGCTCCAGGATCCTGGCTTTGGATCGGCTCAGCACAGGCCATTGCAGCCACTTGGGGAGTGAATCTTGGACGGAGGGTCTTCCTCTTTGTCTACTTGACTTTCCAATAAAACTGCATTTTTAAAGAGACATTTAAAAATTCTCAGTATTGGTAAGGTGGCAGGCAATGAAACTAGGTCTGACTAGTCCAAGTGAGGGTGGGATTTAGTGTAAAATGTTTTTTAAAGAACTGCGGCTCATTTTGTAGTATTATTTCTTTTGAGAACTTAAAGTTCTGGTGTTTCTGAGTTGGATTTTCTTTGTAATATGACTCCCTTATTCATAAGCAGAAATGGTTTTAACTCAAATCATTCATTAACACGCAGAGCCGGAACTGAGTGGCACTTCTAGGCGTTCCCCTGACCTTCTCAGAAACCACAATCTCATAGTTCTTACGTGCCGACTACAGCCCCTGGCCCCTGGAGTGCCTTGTGTGACTCCACATGCTCCCAGGAGCACCATCTCTGCTGCCTCACAGGTGCATTTCCCTCGAGAGCAGCACCTGCTGTGTTCTCTCATGCTAACATTGTAAAGCTTCTCACAGTTCCACCCCAAAGCCATCCCGACTACACTGCAAACATGTACACCGAGAATGCAGGAACACTATATTTATTAGGTCAATAATTCAGTTTTAACAATACAAGTACAGAATATATCACAATGCTGGATACAAACAATCAGTCTGGTTTAATAGTTACAAACCATGGTGGGCACTACAAATCAGTAAGAATGGTATGAAACGTCGTCAGACACAACGAAGAATGTCTTCCAAAAATCTAGCAATGATCTTAGGCATGTCTGTAAAAATTACTGTGGCACACTACCGGGGATTTTTGTGTAAAGATCATTAGTGATTTGTTTTTAAATTTAAGTGTTACAGTAAAAGCTTTTTGTTTTGAGCCTACTAAACTAAAATCCCCTGCTGCTTTAATAAAGTATAAAAATAGTACTGAGCTGGTAATATTTAATAAAATGTAGCATTCATTCACATCATAAAAGTAGAACAAAGTTGAAAAGTTTTAGTTACCACGGCAACATTTCTTCCTGTGAAAAGGAATATACAGCATAAGTCATGTTACACAAATGGTACCGGCAATGTTATCTAGTGATCCAACACTTAACTGTGCTCCACAAGCCAAGTTTGCTAGGTATCTATATATAGCATAGATTTTTAAATTTTATTTTTGAAAAACATGTGCACTTCAACAAACTCACTAAGGCCACTCATGCTATAGATACTTAGGAGTGCAATTAAGAAAAGCAATATTTAGTAAATCTAATGCACACTCTTTTAGATCACCAACAGGGTAAAACCAGTTTTCTTCCTAAAACATTCCTGAGATTTGTGGGCAAGCTAGAGATGAATTCAATATCAAATAGAAAAACATTTCCTGGGGTCAGGGTGTTGGCGCAGCACGCTAATCCTCTGCCCTATGGTGTCAGCATACCACATGGGTGCCAGTTCATGTCCCAGCTGCTCCACTTCCCTTTCAGCTCTCTGTATGGCCGGGAAGGCAGCAAGGGATGGCCCAAGTCCTTGGGACGCTGCACCCACGTGAAAGACCTAGAAAAGACTACTGGCATCCAGCTTCAGGTCAGTTCAGCTCTGGCTGTTGGGGTCATGTGGGGAGTGACCCAGTAGATGGAAGACTTTCTATTTCTCTTTCTCTTTATAAAATCTTACTTTCAAATAAACATAAATAATTCTTAAGAGAAAACAACAACAACTCTTGGCAGTTGAGGTCCGCCAAAGCTAAGAGGCGAAATAGGTGTTAATTTTAAAATGAATAATAAAACATTTTAGAAACTACATTAACTCAGCAAATGTTTTTTTAGTATGAATTTTGCCATCCAAAGAGGCTTCAAATCCTAGGGAAAATACAGAAATTAAGTGGCAAAAACAGGACTGTTTCTTAGCAAATCATCCTTTCAATTTGTGAAGTTGTGGCCAAAAGCTTTGGCATTTGACCATGTTCAGTTTTCTAGTTGTCTGATTAAGAAATAGCCAAATGGCACTCATTATTTCTGAGACTTTTCTATACTAGATTTCCATAAAATTACCAATTTTCTTATCAAGCTTTAATAAAATTATTTAGGAAGACCACTGTGGCGGGGACTCCTAAAAAGTAATAAAATTATTAAACAAGCAAGGACAAATTTGATGGCAAGAAGGGTCCTAATCCTCAGTGAACCACAAAAATTATGTAACAAACCCAAATGACTGCAGGAGTGAACCCACCAGGATGGCACATATTAGTGTTTGAGAGAATTCCCTGATGTACCCAACTTCAGTAGCACCAAACTTTAAGTCAGGGAAGAAAGAGACCAAAGGCCTTTTGTTTAGTATTTCTTTGCTGGACCTCCAGAAAGATCTGTAAGTTGGACAGGGCTTCTTTAGACAAAATGCTATTGACTAAAACGAAGACAATTTTAGTCTTTTTTCCTTCTGAGATTTTTTAATCTCACAAATCAAGGTGGCATTCTTCTAACTTAAGGTTGCTTAAACATGCAAAGAATGAATTCCAGTTGAAATTATTAGGGTATTCATAAGAAAAACAGCATATCACTAACAGAAAACGGAAATTGAAAATAAAAAACCCTACAATGCATATACATTAAGACAAATTTTACTGTAAACTAACACTAAAGCAATGGTAACAAAAAGAAACTGTCAATGATGAAGTTTGTATAAGAAATAAATTGCTGCACCTGACACTATTGCCTTGTGAGCCCAGATTTTGAATATCATCTTGGGATTTTATAACTGAAAAGTGAGCTGAGCTCAGATAGGGAGGTTGAGATCTTACACCACATGCTAGATTTTACCCCTGGAAATGCTAAGTATGCACAAAAGCAAAAAATTATGAATTAAAAAAACCTCATATGAAAACATAAATTTCAAAATATTTATTGGAAAAAAAATTTACCATGACATCCCTATACCACAGACATACCACAAGACTTTAAGAAATCAGTAAAAGTTTAAGTGGCCTATTCTGAAAATATTTTTCGAGGTATTAAATAGGCCCAGGAGGATGCAGCTGAGCAACTTAAAAATGTTAAGTCCTTGGTCACACACATTATATGGTAATTTATAAAATGTCTCTTGGCATCAGCTTGTACTTAAGTGGAAGCTTCATAAACTGTAGGTATCCCAATTTATTCTTTCTCTAATTCAGAAAGAAATTAAGCAAATTGAACATATTCATTTCTCTAAGGAACTAAATGTACTGAGTCATAACAAGACTACAAATAACCAACTCAAGCAGGACTGAACTGTGGGGAGGATTCAAATATTCGATGAAAATACATTTTGAAATTTGGAAGTGTTCTGTACTCACAAGCCAGACAGTTCAGATTTTTCTTCTTCCCACTAAATGTGTATGTTCAAAAGAAGACCAAAATCCAACACACATCCACTCACCCACTACAGACAGCTCCAAGCATCAGCCAAGAGCAACGTCTTTGAACAGCAAAGTCCTGGGCCCCTGAAAATAGCGGGGAAACCCAGCTTCTTATAGAGGTACCACATGGGCCATTGTAATAAAAATTGAGGTAACAGCAAAATACCTTTTGTTCTTGGATTGCTACATGTGATAACTTGCTAAATTTCATTACCTCAGTATTAAACAATTTGCCTTAAAAAAAAAAAATCAAAACCCGACAGGAAAATTAGTGAAGCAGATATATTATTAAGGGATCTTTTTACTTGACTCTTGAATTTCAAATAAAATGATCCAAATGTGTTATTATTTGCCATGAAATAAAATGGAAAGTTTCAAAGTAGACTTATTTGGGGGCATTCATTTTTTATGAATGCCCAGAGAACATATACAGTAACTTTAGTCTCATGTGGACACAGCTCATTTGCAACTAAACAATAAACTTGTTTGTTGCAGTGATGACTGGGGTTATGCTTACAGTGAGGGGACAGCTGCAGCAGACGTTTTTAATTTATAGACTTTCTTAGGGCAAGGTCAACCATGTTTCTGACTAAAGATTTGTCACTAAAATTGCCAATTTCCATAGTTTGGTATCTATTACAAGAATATAATTTCTGCATTATCAGTTTCAAAATACATATAAATGAAGTTATTCTACTAGAAGTATAGGCAGGTGCTAAAATGATCATGTGAAGCTTCTGGTCCAAATAACCACCTTCCATGTAAGGCTGGTCCTGTTCAGTTCCTTCTGGTCCTATGAGCAAATACTATAAGAGCACCGTGTACTGCTGTACCGACATAGACAAGCAAATATAATCAGAACTGCAGGTATATCACATTTCCCGCTACTTACAGATCAACACTGGTCCAGTATGGATGACTCTGACAGCCTCCCTGGAGACGCAGCTGTGGGGTGGTTGTACCCACTTTGTGGGGTAACGCAGCCAAACCTAACTCAGGGTGTCCCTCTTCTATTAGTACTGGTGTTAACTTTTCTATACTGCAAATAAAGATTATTCCCCATAAAATTCTTTATAATACAGTATATTGAATACCTCCACATGGAAGAATTATCTGTTAAAAAGCTGTTAAAATCATCCTTACATAATAAGAATGCAACTCTTTTAAACTCTTAAATAGTTTTATTTAGGGGTTCTTTTTTTTTCTTTCAGGCTTTCTGCAAAATGAATTATTATTAAAAAGAAAAAAAAAAAGATTTCTTGTTGTTTCTACTAGGTTGAAAATGTGGGCCAGACTACTTATACATGCGGTACATGCTGAATATAACTGAATATATGCTTATTCCTACGGACACTCTGAAAGATAAGGATCACCCAAAATAGGGTCTTCAATGGACTGGACCAGTGTTTCAATACAAACTCCAGCCCCCCAAAACAACATGGTTTAGATTTCACAGTATGAATTCCCTGGAATCTGGGAAAAGTTAATTGGTTAACTGAGGTCTTTCCTCAGCAGCTTGGTCCCTCAGCATTCTGAGAAATCAGGAAGGACTGCACCACTTCTTCAGTGGACTGGGGGCTGGTGTTGACATCTTCAAGTGCATTGGTCACTGAATATTGCCGATCTCGCAACCGGTTCCAGTTAGACAGAACATTATGGTATTCGAACACTTTCTCATAATTTCCAATGGAGTTGTAAAGTTTAATGAGACCACGGTAATCATATTCTAGTCCACTGTAGCCTTCACCAAAAAGTTTCTTCCCTGAAAATAATAAGGACATTATTAATCAAAAAAAAAAAAAAAAAAAAAAAAAGAAAGAAAGAAAGAAAGAAAAAGAAGCACAGTTCAAGTATTAAGCAAGTGCTTTCTAAAACCCATGCAAATTCAACTCTTTTTATATCAGGCAACTTGGTTCCATCCCTCTGAAAGGAACAGACACAATTTTTGCATCAAGACTCTCAATTCAGTTCCACCCCCAAGCAATCTCAATGATTTAAAAAACAAACTCAACTTCTCTTATCTAAAGAAGCGGCCCTCACTAGAACAGAATTATAAAATTCCATCGGTTGAAGGGACTGATGTGAAGCTTTCTTTGAGTAAAGAATGGCAATATTGACAACTAGAAGGAAAATACGTATGGAACAAGGCTACTAATTGGTGGCAGCATTTCTTATGGTAAACCAACAAAATGAAACCGCACAGCAGAGCATTTCCGTCAACAGTGGTACTTTCACTTAATGAAATACTACACAGCTGCAACTGAAGAAGAAGCTCCCTGCTTTTTGTGAACGACATAAACTGATTTACAGGGTACACTATTAAGTTTAAAATAAATAAATAAACAAATACATAAACAAATAAAGCACAAAAGTATCTCTGGGCCCAGCATGGTAGCCTAGTGACTAAAACTCCTCGCCTTGCATCTGTCAGGATGCTGTAGGGGCCCTGGATCGTGTCCCCGCAGCCCCACTTCCCTTCCAGCTCCCTGCTTGTGGCCTGGGAAAGCAGTCGAGTAAGACCCAAAACCTTAGGACCCCGCACCCGTGTGGGAGAACCAGAGGAAGCTCCTGTCTCCTGGCTTCAGATTGGTTCAGCTGTAACCATTGCAGTCACTTGGGGAGTGAGTCAGCAGATTGAAGATCTTTGTCTCTGTCTCTCCACCTCTCTGTAAATCTGATCTGCTTTCCAATAAAAATAAATACATCTTTAAAAGGAGAAAAATCAAGCAAAAGGTGGGGGTAACGTTTGGAAGCACTGTTTGCAGAAATAACTGCAATTAACTGCATATTCCTACATTTTGACACTACTGTTACACCTAACACTACAATCTAAAAAATATTATATGATTTTAGCAAATATTTCCATTGAATTTCAGTGGATCATGGATACCCTTAGCAGCTCTAAATCTTTAAACTAACTTCCCTTACACAACATGAAAGAAGTTGACAGACTGATCTTTAACTGATTAAAGAAAATTTAAAGGCAACATACCAATGGCTATAGATCGCAAATAAAGTTTTTCAGCATTTTCATACTGATTCATGTCATAATTATATAAAGAAGCCAGATGTCCCACAGAAAGAGCTACTTCATAGTCTTCTTGACCAAGAAGTTGTTCCTTAATTTGAATTGCTTTGATGTGCATTTCTTCTGCTTCCTGCAAAGTAATTTTTGCAACATTAGTCATTACATTATAATTTGTAAACGGTTTTTACCCAATGTGCAAAAATCTTTTAAATGTTAGAATCTTATGAATACCATAATCACCTGATCGAAAAAATATCTACTATATTCCAAAAGTTGTATATGTGTTGCTGAAGCGAGCACCTATATTCCAAAAGTTGTAAAGACAAAACATTACTGACAGTAAAAGCTATCCTATCCCAAAAGCAAACAAAAGAACTTCTGAACTTGTCCTGGTAATACTCTGTTAGAAGAAATTAACGAAATATTCTAAAATGAAAATTGCTTCATTTTGTTAACACACTAAAATGATTCAGCTCCCTGACTGTGGCTTGGGGAAGCAGTGGACGATGGCCCACCTCCACCATCACTCTTTTGCTGTGAGGGAGCCGGTGCTGCGCAATGGCTCCTTTCCACAGGATTGGCCCATGTGCTGGCGACATACCTAAGGACAAGTGTTTCACGAGACAGAATGTCTCATGAAGCTTTTCAAATTGCATGAACAGGGAGCAGCATCAACAAGCAGAGAGGTGAGACCAGAATGAGTGCTTTTATACGGGATGCTGATGTTGCAGGTACGGGCTTAACTCACTATCCACAATGATGGATACAGCCTTTTTTGGGGAGATGGGTTTATTTATTTATTTATTTTTGGCATAGTCCTAAGTTTTCTAATCTATTTTTATTTTTACTCAGTTGTTTTATATCAGCGGTTTCTTAAATGTTTTTGTGGACTATAGTGGGAGAATAAAAAAATTATTCTGTCCTAGTTATGATACAGAAGAATAAGATTTATTTATTATTTAACTTAGAAAAGTGCAATAGCTAAGACCAAATGTAGAAAAGTGCAATGAAACACATTCCTACCTTAAATTTTCTCATTGACTGATAAAGTCTTCCAAGATTTCCATAGTGTTTTGCAGTCTGTACATTAAATTCTCCAAAAGCTTTCTTAGCTAGCTGGAGTGAAGACAGGTGCAAATCATGGGCTTCCTGAAGCAGTCTCTGCTCAGTTTCCTTATTGTGACAGTCAATTGCAATCTCCTCTAAAATAAGTGCTGAATGAAGAAAGTAATGGGTCAGGGCAATTCAAAACACTCTGTCAAGCTTACCAGAATATTGATTTCAAAACTGAAAATATATTTATACATACTATGGTTTACATTGATCAAGATTAAAGTATTTACTTTAACAACCAGAAAAAAAGTCTACTTTCTATTTCATATGGTACAAGGGACTAAAATTCAAAGAAAAACGGTAAATGTCAAATTATGTTACAGAATCAGCTTTTATTGAATAAATTTTTGCATTTTGTTGGTATGAATTTTTATATTCAATTAAATGGAAAGGAAAGGCAAACTTTCAGAATCATTAAACTATGTCAAGTACTTCTGAAATTTTTGAAACCACCCTCTTATAAAACATAACCTTTAACCAAGCACTACTGAAAGAACTGGTTTCTTCCTACTCACTTGACCAACCAAATCAGGCAAGATGACATTTCAATTTCAAAGACGTATTCAAGACTTTCAAATTCCATCTAACTCCTTAAAAAACACATATTCTTTAACCAGGTAGTTTTATTTCTTGGAAAAATGGCTATGTGCACAAAGGTAAGTAAAATAAGTTTACTACACTATAGCATTTTTAAAAAATGAAAGATTAAAAACAACAGAAAGGCACAATGATAAAAGTAAGGTTAAGTGGTATTAGAGCAAAGAGTATACATTTACATGTATTGAAATGAAGAATTCTCATAATGCAGTTCATGAAAAAGAAACATCATAACCAAACTAAAAAAGTTATCCTTTCATTTTCTTTATATTTAAACGAAATTTTTAAAAAATCCACCAAAACATTGCATCAGGATTGGTGAGATTTCACTTTATTTATAATTGTTTTTATTTCCATTTTTTACATTAATGATTACTTTATAACTTAAAAACTGCAAACCTGAAAGGATTGGGAAAAAATCCAGTTTCACAATTAAAGTAAAATTTACCCATAATGTATAGAATTATAAATGAGTGGCTAATCAAGTTAGCAAAATAGTACTTTATGTGAAAGATCTTTGGTGGAATACAGGAGAAAGGCTAAAACAAAAAGTACTGTTTTTGCCAGAGCCTTGCGACACTGATAGTAAGTGGATACAAAACTTAAAACTCAATCTCAATTTTCGATCCATGTAACTATGTAATTATTACTCCCCCGTGCCATTCTTAAAAGAAACTAACATATACATTAGATAATAAAAAGAAATAAATTCTGACTTCTTAGTAATAACCAATTTCATTAAAAATTTACAGTAACTGGAATTGTAACTCCTTATGAAGGAATGTACTGTTGTGACAATATGGAAGAAAATCAGTCGGGGGTGGGAATCGGGATGAGGGGAATCCCAGACTATACAGCACTGTACCATAAAATTCAAAATTTAAAATAAACATTTTTAAAAACTACAGTAAACTCAAAATGGTATACACAAGGGTAATCCAGTACTGCTACAAAAGAAAACAATTACTCCTATAGTTTACACTATGTATCATTTAAAATATAAATATATATATATATATTTTTGGATTGGATTACAAACGATACCTTTCACCCTCTTTGACGAAGCCAAAAGAAGATGATCTTCAGGTAGGATGTGGGTAATGATGCCAATAGCTCTTTCTGCATGAAATCTGGAATACAGATAGGCACACTGTAGCCCTTTTTCTCGGTTACAAATCATTCAGAGTATTTTTCAAAACCAAGGCTTTAAAGAAATGTGGTAATGAACCAGCTTTTTGCTTTGATTTTTCAATCTTTGGCGGTAATACTTCTTTTTCTTAAAGATTCATTTATTTTATTTGAAAGAATTATGGAGAGGGAGGGGGACAGTAAGTGATCTTCCATCTGCTGGTTCATCCCCAAATGACCAACATGACCAGAGCTGGGATAGTCCAAAGATGCTGGAAGCCAGGAGATTCTTCTTGGTCTTCCCCGTGGGCATAGGGGGACAAGGATGGGAGTCATTATTTGCTACCTACCCAGGATAGCTGGGATGCTGGCACTCCAGGTGGAAGATTAGCGTGCTAAGCCACAATGACAACTGCACATGCTAAGCCTTTAATGTAACCAATGAAATCCCTTCTCCCTCAGAATAAAATAAGTGTCAACATAAACAACCATTCTTAGCCCAAGCCTTTTCCTCCAGTCACACAGGCAAAGCAGTTTCCGGAATATATGGACCATGCATAAATTTATCTGCATGGCTCACTCCTCACTGAACATGCATCTCAGCACAAACTACTTAGAAGTTTCTGTTAAAAAACTACCATCACTCTGAAAGCTCTTTTACCCACATCTCATATATTTGATTATTTGTGAGCAATTTATCAATTACAAACTACACTGTCTATTTTGTCTGCCAGTTTCATTCAAACTACTGTGTTTCATAGCTGCATTCTCTTTCTCAAATGTGTATTCCAATTCACTAATTCTCTCTTCAGTTTTAAGTAATGTGCCATTCAAGTTCTAATGTCATTTTTTCTTTTTTTTTTTTTAACAGATTTTATTTTAGTTTTATTGGAAAGTCAGATATACAGAAAGGAGAGGCAGAGAAAAAGATCTTCCATCCGATGATTCACTCCCCAAGTGAGCACTACAGCCAGTGCTACGTCAATCCGAAGCCAGGAGTCAGGAACTTCCTCCAGGTCTCCCTTACAGGTGCAGTGTTCCAAGGCTTTGGGTCGTCCTGGACTGCTTTCCTAGGCCACAAGCAAGGAGCTGGATGGGAAGTGGGGCTGCCAGGAACAGAACCAGCGCCAATATGGGATCCTGGCATGTTCAAGGCGAGGACTTTGGCTGCTAGGCCATGGCGCCGGGCCCTCAATTTTTATTCTAAAAGATTTTGTTTTCATTTTATTTGAAACACACCTTCCGCCCAATGACTCATTTCTCAAAATGTGGGAAGATCTTACTGCTGCTTCTTCTCTCTGTAATTCTGACTTTGCAATAAAAGTAAATATATTTTTATTGTGTATATATATATTTTAAAGATTTATTTATTTTTATTGCAAAGTCAGATGTACAGAGAGGAGGACAGATAGATAGAAAGATCTTTCGTCTGATGATTCACTCCCCAAGTGACTGCAACGGCCGGTGCTGCACCTATCCAAAGTCAGGAGCTAGGAGCTTCTTCCGGGTCTCCCACACGGGTGCCGGGTCTCCTACACGGGTGCAGGGTCAAAGGTTTGGGCCGTCCTTGACTGTTTTCCCAAGCCACAAGCAGGGAGCTGGATGGGAAGTGGAGCTGCCAGGATTAGAACCGGTGCCCATATGGGATCCCAGCGTGCTCAAGGCGAGAACACTAACCGTTATGCTATCACACTGGGCCTGTAAGGCTACTTCTACTCTCTCTGCCTCTATTGCTTTCCCCGGCCATAAGCAGGGAGCTACATGGAAAGTGGAGCAGCCAGGACACAAATCAGTGCCCATATGTGATGCTGGGTGCTTCAAGGTGAGGATTAACCAACTGACCATTGCACCAGCCCTTTGGCATGGCCTTTTTTTTTTTTTTTTTAAGATTTATTTATTTTCATTGGTAAGGGAGATATACAAAGAAAAGGAGAGACAAAGATCCTGTCTGTTAGTTCACTCCCCAAGTGCATACAATAGCCATAGCAGAGCTAAAAAAGGCTGCAGCCAGAAGCCTCCTCCAGGCCTACAATGTTGGTTGCAGGGTCCCAAGGCTTGGGGCCATCCTCCATTTCTTTCCCAGGTCTCAAGTGCGGAGATGGATGGGAAGTGAGGGGCCAGAACACAAACTAGCATCCATATCAGATCCCAACATTTGCAAGCCAAGGATTTAGACAGTGATTCATTGCATCAGGAGCTCTTGGCATGATTTTTAATAAATTCAAAAACGTGCTGGGGGTGAGTGGCCCAGTGGTTAAGATGCTAGTTAGAATACATGCATCCCACATAGAAGTTATTTTGATTTGATTCAAAGTTCTTTGATTAGTTTCCTGCCAAGAGATCTGGGGAGGCAGTGATGATGGTGGTATTCCTGCCATTCATATGGAAGACACGAACAAAGACCAGCTCCTGCCTTTGTTTTCACAGATTTGGTGGGCATCTGAAGAGTGCACAAGCAGATCAGAGTGTCCAAGCTGGTCCCCTCTTTCACTCCATCTCTTAAAGAATTAAACAACATTTTTTCAAACTTAACCTATAAAGTACATTAAGTACTAATGTACTGGGGAAAAAGGTAGCTTAATCCTTTACAGAAAAGAAAATGTGGAACTTACAGTGCATTATCGAATTTTCCAGAGCTATACTGGTGAACATAAGAAGAATAAGCCAAGTCTTCATGAGCTGTTGCTACATGGATATTTTTGCCACCAAATACTGACTGTCGAATGTCAAGAGCTGCCTGAAAAGAGCCACAAACTCAGATGACAATACTGCAAACCTTTAGAACACAACACCTAGTCAAGCTAAACATCCCAGTAATCCAAACATATATTCTCTAGAATTAATTTTGTAAGGTTGTAATCAAGAAATTTGGAGTATGTAAACCACAGAATATCAAAATCTTCCAGAAGGCCTGATTTTCTGAACACGGAGTTTGTCTTGAAAAGGAGCGACTTTCATGTCTGTGGAATTGCAGCACTGTGTTCTCTATGTCTTCTAAAGTGAACTACAAAATCAAGGAAGTCTTATCTAGAGCAATGGTATTGATACCTACTTAATCAGTAACTAAATTTAGACCAAAAAATGGAAAGTGTGCCTAAGTATGGGTCACAAACGCAGTTTTATTCCTGATTCTTATTAAAACTTACAATATTAACTCTTTTGGCCTTCTAGACCCCGGGGAGAAGAGGGAGCTCAGAGGATCATTTTTAGGGAATAGTTTACACTCTACAAACATATATACACCAGCAAGTGAATTTAGGTTGAATGATTAAAACAAAAAAAAGAGAGAATAATAATAAACTTACCTGATAAATTGCAACAGACTGACAGATATTATCTACATTTAGCAAGTAGAATCCATAATCTAGCAGTGTGTCAGAATATTTTGGGTGTTTGGATCCAAAATGATCCCTATAAAAAGACAAAATTATTAGGTTATAAAGCAGAGAAACAATATAAAATGCATTTTAATAATTTTAACTTACCGTGCCAGATACACTGCATGTTTAATTAACTGTTCTGCCTTCTTAAATTCACGTTTTACTACACAAGCCTAAAGAGAAAATGAAAAAATATTAACTCTGAAATAGTTCACTACTGTGCTAATAAGTACAGTTTACATATTATTGGCATAAGTCAGCAAGAAAAAAATTCACAAACAGAAACTAGAAGGGTAATTATGTTCATTCCAAATAGTTGAGAATTCTTGTATACACAGATCTAAATATAATCTGGGAAAATTATGATGTTAGAGATTTTGATGCCTAACCTCAATGCAAATCTGAGTATAATAAAGTATCTTACAAACTGTAGCTATATATTCCTATTCTTCTTATGTTTCAAAATAAACTGCGTACAAAGAAAATAATTAATTAATTAAACTGTGTGAGGGTTTGGAAGGGCAGTAGCCAAGGATTTATTATTGTTCAGGTACAAGTTGAACAATGAGAATAAGTAATATCTCTAGAAATTCTAAATATATTTTGCATATAAATAATATAAATTCTGCATCAATATAATTTTTTTTATATTTAATGAATGTTCAATGTCTTGAATTTAAAACATTTAAAACTGTTGAGGGCAGACCAGGCTAAACCAGTTCACATCAGCCACTGGTGAATTCGAGCACCAGAACAGAGTGTGGATCGAGCCAGGTTTGGTCGCAGCACATTCCAGTGCACATTACGAATGCTAAGGTGAGGTGACCTGTACCAGATATGGCCGCAGTACCCAACAGCACAAGTGAGAACTAGGAAGGAGAGGGCAGAGCCAGCAGGGGGAATTGGGGGGAGGGCTCCCCTGCTGGACAGCTACTCCCACTGGAGAGCGTGAGCTGGGATGGGGGCAGACCAGACTAGGCAGGGATACAACATCTGTGGGCCTCATGTGAGCCAGATCAGGGAAAAGCCAGGCTGGGCTAATTGTTCCTCCTGGTGCAAGCATAAATTAGAGTGGGTGAGGGTTGGTAGGGCTTAGCTGCAACATCAGCTGGCAGAAGCTGGCACTGGGGGCTAATTCTGTCAAGTTAAACTCCAGAACCACCTGAAGAGTGCATAATCTGGGAGTGGGAGTGGCCTAGAAGGGAAATAGTGGGCACCTCCCTCTTGGGTTATCACTCCCACTGGAGGGCATGAAAACCAGGATGGGGCCAGGGGTGGCTAGACAGAAGGGCACCCAACAGCATGTGTGCGGGCTGGGTAGTGGAGCTGGTTGGGTTGAACTAGGCTTCAATGCCCACTGACATGTATGAGAGCTACATAGGATGTGAGACAGACTTGACTAGTCTGCTGCACATACTGGCAAGCTTGGGAATCTGGATGGGGGCGGGCCTGGTGAGGGTTACTGTGAGTCACTCCGACTAGGCTGCAGCTTCCACTGGTTTACGTGAAGGCCAAGTGTGTGCTGCTTCAGAATCAGGCTGGACTGCAACACCCATTGATTCCAGTGGAAGACAGGGCTGGAAACAGAACTGACCCAGCAATTGCAACCACCAGCTGATTGGAACGATGGACTGTACTGGACCCTGTGCTTGCAAGTATACACAAGAATCACGTCTGGGGGTTCACCTCAGACAAATTTTCTTTAGTGATCCCCTGAATCAAACTGCTGGACTCAGATCCCTAACCATAAAAAGACAGAGGACAGACAAATAAATCAACTACCCCAGCCATATGTTGGCAGTGAAAAACAGGGCAAATGGAGGCTCTGAGATAGACTATGTCAATCAGTGGATTCTCCAACGAGCTCATTGTGCCTGGAGTGGCAAGATTGGCGGCAATTCATCACTATTGAATTATCAAAACTATTTGAGTAAGACCCTCGGAGCATGCCCCACATCGGGGATCTGAGATGGGTGAGAATTGGGTGGGGCTTCTCCCTTTACCTCCCCCTTTATCCCAGATACAGAAAAAAATGTGGAAATTATAGTCTTACCCACTTTTCTGTAGTCCTTGAACTTTTGTGTCCTAATTAACTATGTAAAGATTGTCAAAAATAAAAATAAAAAATGAAAAAAAAATTTAAAACTAATAACCCCTTTATAGTTCTTTGGTAATCAAAATTCATGCTTTTCATTCTAAAATGATAGAGTTGATACATCTCAAAGAAATCACTGATTCTTCTATACCTGTAATTTTGAAATCTTTTAGTTAACTTGATTTTAAGAAACTCCAACCAATATCAAACTTCTGAGTAGAAATTAAAAGTTCCTGGGTAGAATGAGTATGTAAAAACTACATTATTGCTGTAAGGTCTTGGTATATAAAAACAGCAATTCTTAAATACTACAAAATGTCTTCAAAGAGTTCATGTCCCCACTTAGAGTAAGAATAAATGTGAGAGAAATCAAACTTCTCTGAAGGTCAAGTATAGCAGTAAGCTGTCTTGAGATAGTAATACTATGGAACTGCAAGATTTAATAAGTGGGTACCCTTTAAGAGAAGAGCAAAAAAAGTCCAGAGAATTTCAGCCGTTGGAATCATCACTGCTTTAATGGTTTAAGAAAAGAACAAATAAATTCAGGTCAGAATATCGTCAACTACTGATATATGCACTTTGGCCAGCTAAAAAATTATCAAAATGAACATTCAGATGTTTTCTTAGTAAATAAAACTAAAGTCTCTAAAATATAAAGCAAGCAGGTTTCTAAAATCTAGCTCAGAAACTTCGGAAATAAGCTTGTTTAGTATGCAATAACAAATAACACTGGAAAATTTAAACAATGCATTGGCCCAGTAACCCCTATAATTTATTTAATAACTCTTAACAGTTTTATGTTACATTACATTTACCTTAGAAGCTTGTCTTAAGACATCCACCACAACTTTGACTGGTAACCCTGCTGTGATTTCTTTCATTGCCTCAATACACCATTTGTATGCCTAAAGAGAAATGCAGTTACAGAACATATAGATGTGTAATAAATCAAATTGATAATAGTTAACAAACAACTGGTAATCTTTCCTGAAAACTGTCAAGCACTTGAAATGGATGGGGGTATACTGAGTAGTGTCTCAACATCTGAACCAAAGTCTATCCTTTTATGTTATTTTTCTTGTATCTGCTGAATGGATTCTATTTTAATGGATTATTTTATTGCCTATTGCGCACAATGTTCTAAATACAGGAGCCATTATCTAATGTTTCAGCAGATGCATTCACACAAAATTTGATAGAAGGCAGAGGAGCAAAGACACAAACCAGCACTCTGATACAGAATATAGGCATTCTAAATAGCAACATAACCTGCTGTGACGTAATGCCTACCCCCTTACTTTTTTTCAAAGCTGTTTTTATATATTTTTTTAAAATTCTTATTTTCAAGATTTTATAATTGGGGCTGGTGCAAAGGTTCAACTGGCTAGTCCCCCACCTCCAAGCACCAGCATTTCATCCCATGTAGGCACTGGCTAGGGCCCCAGCTACTCCACATCCTATCCAACTCCCTGCTTATGGCCTAGAAAAAGCCAGGAAAGCTTTGGGAAAATGCACCCAGATGGAAGAGCTTGAAAAAGTTTCTGGGTCCTGGCTTCAGATTGGCTCAGCTCTGACTGTTGCGGCCATTGGGGGATGAACCAGCAGATGCAAGATTTTTCTCTTTGTCTTTCCTCCTCTCTGTAAATCTATCTGTCTTTCCAATGAAAATAAATAAATCTTAAAATAAATACATATTTTAAACTTGATATGAAAGGCAGATTCACACAGACAGAGGGAAAGACAGGGATATCCCTTTGCTGGTTCACTCCCCAGAAGGTCAAAACAGTCAGCACTGGGCTCACCAGGAGTTCCTTCCAGGTTTCCCCAAGCACTTAGGACATCTGCTGCTTTTCCCATGCCATGAGCTTGGAGCAGCTGGGACATAACCTGCCACCCATTCATAAGGTCAGTTTGTAGGTGCAGGACTTTATCAACTACGTCGATCCTCCAAAGTCTTATTGTTTTAATTTATTTTAGATGGACTGAAATTAAAATTCCTGTTTCACTCCCCAAATGCATTCAATAGCCTGACAGAGGACAAGGTGAAACCAAATGATTTATGCCATCACTTGCTGTCTCTCAGGATCTGCATAAACCAAACCCAGAATCAGGAGCCAGAGTTGGATACTGAATTCAAGCACTCCAATGCAGGCCATGGGGTGTTGCATACTATATGATAACCACTAGCCAAAATGCCTGCTCCTTGACTCATTCCTGCAAAAGATACTGTAGCAACATGATCTTACTATCAGAACTGTACCCATATCACTTCAACATTCAGAATTTTCAGGTATCACTTCCAGTGATAATCTTCCATTAAATAAGGTACATATTTATACTACTGGGGCAAAATAACAGTAGTGATAAGTTTAAAATATGAAAGCACAATGGCAGTTATTTGACAGCATGAAATAATTATAGTATCCATAAACACAACAACCAAGTGAAGGAGTTAAGCACACACAAATTACTTTTCAACTATGTGATTGTTTGCATCTGAGCATTAAATTAATTGTATAAAAAGCCAGGAATGAAGCTATTTTGCTCATTCAGACAGGGGGAGGAGTAACATAATGAAACCCATAAATAAAATTAAGTTTCCTGAAGCAACTGTTTAACTTAGCAGTTACGACACCTTCATCTCAACATCAGAGTACTTGCAATTGAAACATGGCTCCACCTCCTTCCTACCTCCAACTTCTGGCTAATGCAGATTTTGGGAAGCACAGGTGAAGGCACAGTAATATTCTGTCACACATACGAGTGAATTAAACAGAGCTCATGGCTCCCAGCTTTGGCCCTGCCCATGACAGCCCGGTTCAGCTGCTGTGAGAATTTGGGAGGTGAAACAGTGGATGAGAGTGCAATCCATTTCTATTTCAAATTAAGGAATAATGATGATAATAAACACAGTTTTTCAATGATATAAATACCTACAGTTATGAGTTAATCTGGAGCTACACATACAGTATAAAACATCTATGAAAGTTCATTTAATGAAGATGTCCATCAAAATAATTAAGGTGGAGACACACTTAACTCAAAACAAAAATTACAAACATCCTAAAATTGTACACAAATGTATTAAAAACTCCATGTCACATACACTAATTTTAAATATTGCTTTACAAAAGCCTAAACCTAACACACAGAAATGAAACCTTTGAGACATAAAGTGAGGTCTGTGTTACTCCATCCCACTGCACAGATACTGATCACTGATCACAGTGAGATGCACTTCAGGACACTCACCTCATCATAATGACTTTTGGCAAACAGAAGTGCACACAGCTCCCCATAGAGTGCAGCTTTATTTGCTTGCTGGCCATGCTTTGATAGTTTATCCATGTATGTCTGAGCTAACTTAAATGTTTCTTCACCTAAATGGTATTTGCAATTTCCATTTCGAACATGAAGCAATCTATAAAAACACAAGTAACAAATCCTATATGATTGAGAATTCTAGGAGGGTGGACCTATTAATTTTTTCCAGATCAGCAAAGCAATGAAATTACTCAATGCATGTAGATGCAAGAGATGAGACAGCATGAGACTAATGCTCACAAGTTGGTTTATCATGTTTTTCAATAAACCTTCCATGAAAAAACTCACAACACTAATTCCCAGGATTCTCTAAGTACTTATGCTTACTTTGTATACTCAGCAAGTGCTCATTTTAAGAAAAGAATATTCGCAGCAAGTACTGTGATGTAGCAGGTAAAGTTACTGACTACCCTGTCAACATGCCATTTAAGTCCTGGATGCTCCACTTTCAATTTGCTCCCTGCAAATGCATCTGGGAGAGAATAGAAGAGGACTACTACACCCATGTGAGAGACCTGAAAGAAGATGCTGGCTCTGGCCTGCACAGTCCTGGTCACCGTGGCATTAGATTACAAACAAATCTCTCTTCCCACTTTATCTGTAACTACAGTAAATTTCTGAAATAAATAAAATTTATTCTTGGATTCAAATCCAAAGAAAGAGTAGTCAGTGTAAGAAATTTGGGAAATCACAGGACTGGGGCAATAGCTCAACTATTTCATATGGGTGCTGGTTCTTTTCCTAGCTGCCCTGCCTCCCCTCCAGCTCCCTGCTTGTAGCCTGGGAAAGCAAAGCCTTGGGACCCTGCACACACATAGGAGACCTGGAAGAAGCTCCTGACTCCTAGCTTCAGATCAACTCTGCTCTGGCCATTGCAGCCACTAGGGGAGCGAACCACTGGGCAGAAGCTCTTTCCATCTCTCTCTGTAAACCTGCCTTTCCAATAAAACAAAATCAAATCTTAAAAAAATAAAAATAAAACATTGAAGTGTAATAAATAATAAGATTAGGCCAAAGTCCTGGAGTATTTTTTTAGACCATCAAATTCTAGTTCACAGACAAAAGGAACATAATTTGTCAGGCTACTTGAGAAGAGTGAGATGATTAATTTCTCTGATTTTTTTGTGTCCTTAACTGTAAATCTGCCTTTCCACTGAAAATAAATAAATCTTAACAAAAAAAAAAACAAAACAAAACAAAACAAAAAACAAAAAACCCGTGCCCATATGGGATCCTGGTGCATACAAGGCAAGAACTTTAGCCACTAGGTACTGTGCCTGGCCCCAGGGTTTTCTTTAAATTCTCATTTCAGAAAGCTTTTTTTTCCATTTCAAAACAAAAAATAAAATAATCTCAGTCTACACTTTTAGGAAATAATAAACAGTAGGAAGAAATGGAAAATAAAATCTACATTTATTCTGCCCTTAAGAGGTTCAGCAAAAAGTTTTCTCCCCACTAGAGGTCTGGAAACATCGTAAGCTCAAACCAATGACACCCTTGCATTGATTAATTATACAGAAAAGGTCCAAAAAAAGGATCAGGGACATGCTCTTAGGGTTTCATCCTCAAAAAGACACCAATACGGTTATACTTCTGCAAACATGGGTTTCCTGTTTTAGTGAGAATAGCAAATCTTAAAGGAAACAAACAAAAAAATCCTGCCTATATACTAAACATGTATCAATTCTTCCCTTGTAATTATTAAAGTAATACAATAACTATATACATGGTATTTAAATATTAGATTTTGTGAGTATCCCAGAAAAAATATATGTGCATAGGGAATATATACATAGGTTATATGCAACATCTCACTATTTTATATAAAGGACATGAACATTCATGATTTTTGGAATTTCAGAACCAATTTTGCGTCTTAAAACCAATCCCATGAATACTGAACGAGGCCTATATAAAAAATATGGTTATCTTTGTGTGGCAGGGTTATGGGACAGCAGTTTCTTCTTCATAGCTTTATGCATTTTCATTATTTGTTTGGCAAAATCATATATACATAGAAAATACAAAGGTATTATATAAAAAAATGTGCTAAGGGGACAAAGTCCTAAAAGAATACATAAGAATTGAAAAATGGTAGCAGGTTTAACTACAGGAAGGCTAAGAAGGCTCTCTGATATTTGCTCTTTAGATGAGAAATTAGCATTTTGACATTAAATTGAAAAAAAGATAACCATTCTCTCTCACATCAATCTCAAAGCTGCAAGGATTAGCCAAGGATTTTATTTGTATCTGGCTTCTAAAACACTTTTCTTCCCAATGGTACTAAAGGTACAATCAGTAAATAACACAAATTTCCTTCTGCATTAAACAAAAACAAGAAACAAAACTACATCTGAAAAATAAACCTTCATTTCCAAACAATACTGAGGATAAGACAGAATTACTACTACATATAAACTAAAAACACTAATAATGACCAAGAACTTGGTAAATCTACTTGTGTAGAAGCAAACTTTACTTTGAAATTTCAAATTCATAGGTACAAAATATCTTATCCTGGCATGTAAGCAGTCAGCTAGCATTTTAAACGGCTTGGTTTCTTGCTCTAGAAAGTATTATAATTTCACACAGGTTTATTTCAAAGAGAGTAATCAGTATATTGTTAGCTACTTAATCAATAGTGTCCTTTTTTTCTTTAATACAGACCCATGAATTTACTCAGGGTAGGTAAACACACAATTAAAAATATTGTTTCCCAGACTACCTTGCACAAGTTAGAAAGTGTTCAGAATGTTCCCAATTTAAGACCAGGGCAGGGAGGCATGGGTTTAACAGTTGTATGAATGCCCAGTCCTGTGTTGGAGTCTCTCTCCTACTTGACACCTACCAACGCATACTCTGGAGATGGCATATGATGGCTCAAAAGCTTGAGTCACAGCCACCTGCTCAAGAGACCACCACTTTGAGAGTGGAGCAGTAGTTATGAGCTTTCTCTGTGTCTGTATATTTGTCTGCCTCTCAAAAACAAAAACAGAGATAAAGAAAAAAAAATCTAAAGAGACATAGCGTAATGCTTTGGGGAAAGCAGTACTTTATTTCACAAACAGAGTTGGTGGGGAGCAGCACCATGGAGTAACAGGTTAGGCACTGGCTCTGATTATCAGCACCCCATATGGGTGTTAGTTTAAGTCCAAGTTGCTCCACTTTCAGTTTAGCTCCCTGCTAATACGCCTGGGAAAACAACAGAGATGGCCCAAGAGCTTGGCCCTCTATATTTCTGTGGATGAACTGGAAGAATTTCCAAGCTCCTGAGTTCAGCCTGGCTCAACCACAGTCATTGCAGCTATTTGGGTATGAACCAGCAGATGGAAGATCTCTGCTTTTCTCCCTCTCTATCACTCTTCCAAATAAATTTTATTTATCTTTTTAAAATTTATTTATATTGCAAAGTCAGATATAGAAAGAGGAGGAGAGACAGAGAGAAAGATTTTCTATCTGATGATTCACTCTCCAAGAGACTGCAACGGCCAGTGCTGCACCTATCCAAAGCCAGGAGCCAAGAGCTCTTTCAGGTCTCCCATGTGGATGCAGGGTCCCAAGGCTTTGGGTTGTCCTCAACTGCTTTCCTAGGCCACAAGCAGGGAACTGGATGGGAAGTAGGGCTGCCAGGATTAGAACCAGCTCCCATATGGGATACTGGCGTGTTCAAGGAGAGGACTTTAGCTGCTAGGCCATTGTGCCAGGCCCAAGTAAACATTTTATTAAACAGCATTGCAGGGGATGACTTTATCTGCAATGCCACAATGCTGACTCTAAAAAATAAATCTTAAAGGGAGAGGGCAGGTTATTCGTCACATCAAAGCACACAAGTCGGACAGCTGGCTTGGGCTCCTCACTACTGCTTTCTGCTACCATGGATCCTAGAAAGCAGTGGTGATGATGCAAGGAAAAGGGTTCCTGCGACCCTTTGGAGTGAGCTCCTAGTTCCTTTCCAACTTTCCCCATTACAGGCATTTGAGGAATGAATCAATAGAGGTGAGCTCTCTCCTTGTTCATTTAAAGTTCCTCAAATATCTAAGTAAATAGAAATTTTACAAAGAGAACAAACAGCAGACTCATCTGGCTATAACAGAAGTCATAAAGCTACATATACAAGGTAGTTAGATGAAATGAATTTCCTAGTTCTCCAAATAAAAATCAAGCTGTGCCAATGAATTCTTATTTGGTTAAGAATAGTGTAAAGAAAAATTATAATAAAATCATGTGGAATGGATTTTCTATTCTAAATAAAAAAATTCATGTAATAAAAATATCTAATATGGCAAACCTCATACAGGAGACTCTAGTCTTCAATTTATATAAAGATAGAAACAGCAGAAGAGGAATGAATGATGTAGATCTGCTACTACAAATTATTATTCCTAATTACTGGCCCAAGTCTCAAACCTTTTGGAGTTTCTTCACATAAATATTTGCAACCATCATCTAGTACTTACTAAATATATGTAGGAAGTTATCATAAGCTTTGAAAACACTTATAAAGTAAGTCTACACATAATTAACTTTAGAATTTGAATGTATCTCTTAATACAAGTAAGCCTATATAAAGTAGGATAATGAGAGCCTCAAAAGAAATCCAATTGGTTAACAGAACATATGCTTTACTCAATTTTAGCTTAAAACAAAAAAGGTTTCAGAACAATCCATATTCTAGTTTTGAAGGGGTTCAGACTTGATTAACTCATTGCGGAAATACACAGGAAACAGTAACATCAGTATCCACATCAGAGCACTACTTTTATTTTCAGAGAATATAAATCTATAGTTTTATTAAGACAAAAACTGACAGTATGGGATGAAGCTTACATTTAAACAGTTTTCACAGAAACCTAACACACGCCTAAAGAGAGATATTTATAATGTAATTAGATGTAGGTCTAGACCATGTCAAGAACTGATGGATCTCATGAATCAAAACAACATCTTGGGGCCCGGAGGTGTGGCCTAGCGGCTTAAGTCCTCGCCTTGAACACACTGGGATCCCATATGGCCGCCGGTTCTAATCCCGGCAGCTGCACTTCCCTTCCAGCTCCCTGCTTGTGGCCTGGGAAAACAGTCAAGGACGGCCCAAAGCCTTGGGACCCTGCACCTGTGTGGGAGACCCGGAAGAAGTTCCTGGATCCTGGTTTTGGATTGGCATAGCATCAGCCGTTGTGCTCACTTGGGGAGTGAATCATCGGACGGAAGATCTTCCTCCCTGTCTCTCCTCCTCTCTGTGTATCTGACTTTCCAATAAATAAATAAATCTTAAAAAAAAAAAAAATCTTGGTAATCAGCTAATTCTTAGGATTAACAAACAAACACTGTCTGGTGTTTTGAAGTAAACCACTGCCCTAGTTTGAACGCTCAGTCTGCTTCTGAAATCATTCCACCCTTGGATAGCTTCAATGAAACTTGTGCTGTCAGTGACTGAAAACTGCCGCCTGTGCCCGCAGAGCTCAAGGGTAAAAACACAACAGAGCAGAGCACTACTTTGAATCCCAGCTTGCCTTCCTCCAATTCAATTCCCTACTACTGTGCCTGGAAAAGTAGAGATCTGCCTAAACACCTGGGACACTCACCCATGTGGGAGACCCAGAAGATCTGTTAAGACTTTAAAAAAAGAAAGATGACTCATTCATTTGAAAGGCAGAGTTAGTTTGCAGAGAGGGTGACGGGTAGAAGAGTCCATTCAGACTGGTTCACTTCGCCAAAAGGTAGCAATAGCCGGAGATGGAATCAGGGGATTCCACTAAGTCTCCCACATGGGTGCTGGGACCCAAGCTTTCCTAGGTCCATCAGCAGGGATCTGGATTGAAAAAGCAGCTGGGACATGAACCAGTGCCCGTATGGGAGGCTAGCATTGCAGGGGGTGGCTTTATCTGCAATGTCACAGTGCTGGTCCTAAAAAAATATCTCTTAAAGGGAGAGAGACAGAAGAGAGGAAGAGAGATAGAGAAAGATAAGTGGGAAGGATAGAATGCTATGGACAGAAAGACAAAACACCTGGGTTGGGCTAGAAAAATAGCTGGGAACCAGGAATTCAAGCCAGGTCTCAGTCATATTAGCAAGAAGCTGGAATTTGCAGCAGAGTTGCATCTTGGAGCTCAGGTGCTCTTGGTAGGTCACATCAATATCCCAATCAGCAATTTTACTAATTGGGTAAGGGTCCATGCCAATTTTAAAATATTTTATATGGCTCTCCCTTGAATTTTATATACAAATTATTTTTACAAGGCCTGGCACCGTAGCTCAGCAGCTAAAGTTCTCACCTTGCATGCACCGGGATCCCCTATGGGCACTGGTTCTAATCCTGTCTAATCCTGGAGACTCCCTGCTTCCATCCAGCTCCCTGATTGTGGCCTAGGAAAGCAGCTGAGGCTCCGGGCTCCTGGCTTTGGATTGACACAGCTCCAGCTGTTGCAGCTGCTTGGGGAATAAATCAACGGACGCAAGATCTTCCTCTTTGTCTCACCTCCTCTCTATATATCTGACTTAGCAATAAAAAAATATATATATATATATTAAAAATTATTTGTACAAAGTAACAAATTGTGGAAAGAAGAAATATATACAAAAAAGCTAAAGCTGAATGTCAGATGTGCAGATAAAGATAACAAAAGCAACCTCTAGTGACTATATCACAGTGTAGTTACCCAATATTATGACACTGGTATCCCACTGGGTGCCAGTTTATGTCCTGCTGCTTCACTTTCAATCCATCTCCCTGATAATGGCCTGGGGAAAACAATAGCAGACAGCCCAAGCACTTAGGTCCCTGACCAAGTTCTTGGCTCCTAGCTTCAGTTTGGCTCAGCCCTGGCATTGCAGTTATTTGTGGAGGGAACCAATGAATGGAAGATCTCTCTTTCTCTCCCCTTCCTCCCCTCTATGAATCTGCCTTTCTGACTTATTTATATGTATCATTTATTTATTTATCTGTAACTCTGAAAGTCAGAAGTAAAGATACAGGGAGACAGAATAGATAGCAAAGACTCTTTCACCAGATGGTTCACCCCACAAATGGCTACACTGGCTGGAGTTGGTCCATTCTGAAGCTAGGAGCCAGGAGCTTCTTCTGGGTGGGTGCAGGGGCTCAAGCACAGGGGCTGTGCTCTGCTGTTTCCCCGGGTCCACTAGCAGGGAGCTGGGTTAGAAGTGGAGTAGCCAAGACAAGACTGGAAGCAGTAGCTATATGGAATGCTGATGTTACAGGTGGAGATTTTACCCACTATGCCTAGGTACCACTCTCCAAATAAATAAATCATTAAAAAAAAAAAATCACAAGAGAAACCTGTCTTGGGTTAACCATCTAAGGCCTAGCACATTTTCTAGTACATAATGAAATGCTAAGCGTCCAGAGCAGATTACGCTTAAGACAAAATAGGAGACCAGACCAGTGAAACTGACATAAATAACCCCATCGGACACTTACTCTATGCTAGCTTACACTAGGAAGAGCTAAAATTACAAAAGTCACTATGTACCATTACAGCATGTAATTGAAGAGTCTGATCCTACTTACCTTACACAACATTCTACTGCACGAAACCAATGAAGCATCTCATCATGTAGAGTACACAACTGAAGGCAGGACAGAAAAACTTTCTCAGCATCACTGTACCAGCCTGCATCAGAAAGAAAGCCACCTAAAGAACAAGAAAACCCAGTTAGATTTAATAATGCAATAAATTTTTTGAAACCAAACAGTGAATACCTAAACTAAAAGATTCACAATATTGAAGTTCTGTATTTAGCCTAAAACAAAGGCATTCATTGGGAGAATAATTTTCTCTAAAAAGTTTTAAATTAAGGGAATTAGTATTAACGCTGACACTTAATTCAAGAGTTTTCAACCTTAAACAATTCTCTACGGCCTAAGAGCTGACATTTTTTAGGTTATAAATAATAAGACTACGGGTTGGTACAGTGCCTGCCAGCACCAGCATGCTATATAGGCACCGGTTTGTGTCCCAGCTGCTCTATTTCTGATCCAACTCCCTACTTATGGCCTGGGAAGGCAGCAGCAGATGGACCAAATCCTTGGGCCCATGTATCCATGTATCCATGTGGGAGACCCAGAAGCTCCTGCTTCTTGCATTCAGATCAGCTCAATTCTGGCTGATTCAGCTATCTGGGGAGTGAACCAGCAGATAGATGACTTCTGTCTCTCCCTCTCTCTCTGTAAAATCTGTCTTTCAAAATAAAACAAACCTTTTTTTAAAAAGCTACATTTTAAGTATTCTGATATTTTCATCTTGTAATCTACAACTTTTCACTCTCCACATTCCCCATCCTAAACTTGAAGAAACAGACATATAAAATTGATCTTTGTACAGGCAGCACATGATCAAGGACACACGCATAACAAACACAACAAACAGCAGGTGTTTGTCATAGTAGCACAGACCCTTCTGGGAAAATCCACATCCCATACTGGAATGTCTAGATTTAAGTCCTATCTCCAGTTCTTCTTTTATGAGATGCATTTCTCATAAAGACTTAGAGAGAAAGAAGGAAAGACAGAGATCTTTCAACCACTAATTCACTACCCAATTGAAATCAAAGCTTGAAAATGTATCTGGATCTCCCATGCAGGTGCAGGAGCCCAAGCACTTTGGCCATCTAGTGCTGCTTCTCAAAGTACGTTAGCAGGGAGCTAGGTGGAGAGTGAAACAGCTAAAACTTAATCAGATGCCCACGTGGTGGCTTAACCAGTTGCACGATAGGGCCTGTCCCCCCCAGCTTGACTTGTAATCTAACGTCCTTCTAATGAGAACCTTGGGAGGCAGCAGGTGATGAATTAAGTAATTAGGTCTCTGCCATTCAAAACAGACCAGATTGAGTTATGGACTCCTGTCATTGGCCTGGATCGGTCCTGACTGTTGCAGATACTTGTGAAGAATACCAGGGGTTGGAAAATCATTCCAATAAGTGAAAACATAAGACAATGAGCTTGTTCCCCTCACTGGGCGGAGGGAGGAGATTTTCATTAGAAAATCAGATTTATAGAGGACAGAAAGATCTTCCATGTACTGATTCACTCCCCAAATGGCCACAACAGCCAGAAGAGCTGTTTAGATAACCTGAAGCCAGGATCCAGAAGCTTCTCCCAGATCTCTCATGCAGATGCAGGGTCTCAAGGCTTTGGGCGATCCTCTACTGGTTTCCCAAGCCATAAGCAGGGAGCCGAATCAGAAGTGGAGCAGTTGGCACAGGAACGAATACCCAAATGGGATGTCAGTGCTCACAGGCAGATTAGTCAGTTGAGCCATCGTCCCAGCCCCTTCCTTTTTTCTTAGTAGGAAATTAAAACACTGTCCTCCTACAGCCCAGATTTACTATTTGCTAAAATTATTGCCATCCTGTTGGAGGTTTTAGTCCTCTACAATTGCTAAGGTTCAACATACTTAAAACACTTACTGTTCAAGTTTAAGAAGAAAAACTTGGGGCAAAATAAAAACAAAACTTACAAAGTATTACTAAATTTATTCAATCCAACTTTATAGGCTCAATTTACAATTATTGTATTATCTTAGCTATTATGGCAAACCTTTCATAGTGTTGTTAAAGATTAGTTATACTAACCAGAAAACAGTAAGTTCAATTCTATAATACTCTTTTTTTACACACTTAAAAACTTAAAATTACATAATAAAACTGATGATGGTTTACCTTCATTGGCAGTATTATTCCTTGGAAACACAAAAAAATACTGTGTGACTTAATAGTGTCAATATCTGAGGGTTAAGAAAATATTATATATTACTCAGACCCAACTCTTACATTTAATTAAAGTATATGTAAATAAACAGTTATTTTATTAAACTGGAGATGCTAGTGTTTAGAACATTCTAGGGCCCTCACCAATACAGAATAATTAGTTTATATGTATTTATATTAAACAACCTTCTACTCCTCACCCCAAGATGCTATAAATTGTGCTGATTATCAGGCTATTGTTTTGTTTGCTTTAAATTTACCCTTCAAGAATCTGTTTAGCAGTGCTGAGGCAAGGACCCTAAAAACCTCATTTCTCCTATGCCAGGTAGCTCAGTGTCAGGCTCTGTCAACAGGAAGAACTAGAAAGAGCTATGGGACCAGACACTGCTTCCCATATCTGTCACCTTGACCTCCACAGACAGCAACACTTTAGCACAGGATTCTTTACTGTGGTAGTGGCAGTTCATTCCAGTAAGGCAGTGAAATCTGTGTTTCTATATCTCCTTCTCTCTGTATTTCTGCCTTTCCAATAAAAATAAACAAATCTTTAAACCACTAAAATAAAAGGGGGCCCAAACACGATACCCTAGTGGCTACATTCTCGCCTTGCATCCCACATGGGGCACCAGTTCATATCCCAGATCTGCTTCTCATCCAGCTCCTTGCCTGTGGCTAGTGAAGGCAGTCAAGGACGGCCCAAACCTGGTGCACTGCACCCGCGTGGGAGACCCAGAAGGGGCTCCTGGCTCTGTACCAGCTCAGCTCCTGCCACTGCAGCCACTTGAGAAGTAAACCAGTGGACGGAAGATTTTTCTCTCTGTATCTCCTCTCTGTATATCTGACTTTCCAATTTAAAATAAAATGAAAACTTAAACACACACACACGGGCAGAGGGGTGCTGCTTGGGACAGCAGCATGCCATATCAAACTACCTGGGTTCCAGTTCTAGCTCTGCTTTTGATTCTAGCTTCCAACTAATGCAAATAAGAAGGTGACAGCTTAAACTCTTGACTCCCTGACACCAAAGCGGATGAAACAGACTCAGCTGTTACAGGGATGTGGGTTAGTCTATTAGTGGATAGGAGCTGTTCTCTTTCTTGCTTTCAAATAAATAAAAACTAACAACCAAAAAATAAAGGACATGATGAAGCTTACTAAAAAAGCCTTTTACTACATGTGGGTTTGCATATGCACTTGAGACAGAAAACACACACTAATGTGAGAATCAACAACAAAAGGAAGTTTGAAATGATGAACTGTGTCCAGACAATTCACTAAAAAACACACACAAAAATGAAGGACCTCGCAGGCGGAAGGCTGAGTCTATCAATGGACAACACATCCTCAGTTTTGATTACTTACCTAAAACAAAGCCAACCTGAATGGCTTTCTCCTTTACTGCAGCATCTGATTCAGCTATGTAAGAGCACCGTCTGCTGAATGAGTAGGCCAAGACTGAAGCAACTTTTACACCATGATCCATCAAAGCCTGAAAGCAATGATGAAGTAAATGTCTGAAAGAGAAGAAAAAGATTATTTCATTTAAAAAATGCTAGGTGATGGGCCCGGCGCGGTGGCGCAAGTGGTTAAAGGTCCTCGCCTTGCACGTCCGGGATCCCATATGGGCGCCGGTTCTAATCCCGGCAGCCCCGCTTCCCTTCCAGCTCCCTGCCTGTGGCCTGGGAAAGCAGTCGAGGACAGTCCAAAGCTTTGGGAACCTGCACCCGCGTGGGAGACCCGGAAGAGGCTCCTGGCTTCGGATCGGCATAGCATCGGCCCGTTGCGCTCACTTGGGGAGTGAATCATCGGACGGAAGATCTTCCTCTCTGTCTCTCCTCTCTGTATATCCGCCTTTCCAATAAAAAAAATAATAATAATAAAAATAAATCTTTAAAAAATAAAATAAAATAAATAAAAAATGCTAGGTGCTTCTCTATCAAATATCAGCAACCATTATTTTCCAGGAGCCAATAAAATAAAAAGTGTTTTCTCCAAACATTTATGAAGCAATAATAATTCAGAATTTAGTCAGATACTTTGTTTTAAAAATTTGTTTTTATTAGCAAGTCATATATACACAGAAAAAGAAGACAGAGAAGATCCATACGCTGATTTACTCCCCAAGCGGCCACAACAGCTGAAGCTGAGTTGATCCGAAACCAGGAGCCAGGAGCTTCGATTGAGTCTCCCATATAGGTGTAGGGTCCCAAAGCTTTGGATAGTCCTCAAATGCTTTCCCAGACACAAGCAGGGAGCTGGATGGGAAGCAAGGTCACCGGAATCAAAACCATCTCCCATATAAGATACCAGCACATTCAAGGCAAGGACTTTAGCCACCAGGCTACCGTGCCAGACCCTTAGCACAAGATATATTCAATCACTCAGTGAGCCTACAAAACTAAGGAAGTAGAAATTGTTTAACTTAATGCCAAAGAAAAATGAAGGTGGGCCCAGCACAGTAAGCTAGTGGTTAAAGTGCTTGCCTTGCATGCACTGGAAACCCATAGAGGAGCCAGTTCATATCCTGGCTGCTTCAACCAGCAGTGCCAGGCCAATTCAAGCTCATAGGCAAATGCAGGTAAAACTGAAATGTGGGGTATGCCAGGCTAGGCTATCACACCTACTGGTTTGCATGAGTCAGGGATGGAGCAGACTGGGCAGAGCCAGGCTGTAGAACTAGCCAGCAAGTGTTGGGACTGAGGATGAGGGTGGGTCAACCCAGGCTGCAGCATCCGAAGGCAAAAGACAAGAGGATGGGCTATGACGAGCTATGTCAAAGCAATCACTGGCAAATGCAAAATCTGTGACTGGGGTCAAGCATGGTAGCCTAGCAGATAAAGTCCTTGCCTTAAACACGCTGAGAACCCACATGGGCGCTGGTTCGTGTCACAGTGGCCCCGCTTCCCATCCAGCTCCCTGCTTATAGCCTGGGGAAGCAGTCGAGGATGGCCCAAAGCCTTGAGACCCTGCACCTGTGTGGGAGACCTGAAAGAGCTCTTAGCTCTTGACTTCAGATGGGTTCACCTCTGACCGCTGGGGCTACGTGGGGAGTGAATCAGAGGACAGAAGATCCTCCTCTCTGTGTATCTGACTTTTCAATTAAAATAAACAAATCTTGGGTCTGGCACAGTGACCCAGTAGCTAAAGTCCTTGACTTAATCATGCCAAGATCCCATATATATGCCGGTTCTAATCCCAGTAGCTTCACTTCCCATCTAGCTCCCTGTTTGTGGCCTGGGAAAGCAGCTGAAGACAGCCCAAAGCCTTGGGTTCCTACATCCGTATGGGGACCCAGAAGAGATTCCTGGCTCCTTGCTTCAGATCGGCATAGCTCTGGCTGTTGCGGTCACTTGGGGAGTGAATCATCGGAAGGCAGGTCTTCCTCTCTGTCTCTCCTCCTCTATATATACATCTGACTTTGCAGTAAAAATAAATAAATAAATCTTTTTAAAAAATCTGACTGGGAGCAAGCCTGGTTGGTAAGCTAACGAGATGCCCCTGCTGGGTTATGATTCCTACTGGTGAGTGTGAGAGCAGAAAAAATGGAGATGGTGGTTTGGGTTGCACATTTCTGCGGTGTTCCTCAATATGCGTGTGCACTGGGTTTGGGGTGTGCCACACTGGGCTAGACTCCAGCACCCACTGGTGCTTATGAGAGCCAGAGTGGGTGTAGATTGGGCTGGGCTAGGTTTCCTCTCCCACTGAACCACGTGAGAGCTACATCAGGGCATGAACTAGTTGTGGCTGGGTTGTAACACCCAACAGTAAAAACTGGATTGGTTGGGCCCGGCACGGTGGCGCAAGTGGTTAAAGGTCCTCCCCTTGCACGCCCGGGATCCCATATGGGCGCCGGTTCTAATCCCGGCAGCCCCGCTTCCCTTCCAGCTCCCTGCCTGTGGCCTGGGAAGGCAGTCGAGGACGGCCCAAAGCTTTGGGAACCTGCACCCGCGTGGGAGACCCGGAAGAGGCTCCTGGCTTCGGATCGGCATAGTATCGGCCCGTTGCGCTCACTTGGGGAGTGAATCATCGGACGGAAGATCTTCCTCTCTGTCTCTCCTCTCTGTATATCCGCCTTTCCAATGAAAAAATAATAAAAATAAATCTTTAAAAAAAAAAAAAAACTGGATTGGTAAGGGGCAGTTAGGCAAGCCTACTGTTCCTGCCAAGACAGGAGGTAGACTAAGTCAACCCAAGCCAAGGCCCCACCAGTGTGCATGAGATCTGCCACAGGGAGGGGACCCAACAAGGAACATGGAGAATCCCTTTGTCGGAGTGTAGCCCCTGTAGGGGAGCACAAGATCCAAGGCAAGGAGCATATCAGACCAGAATACAGTACCTTCTGGCATATGCATGCCTCAGGCCTGGGAGAGCACCAGGCTGGGCCAGTTTATAACACCCCTGGCATATCTGACAACCAGGACGGGGTACAGGGCAGGCTGAGTCAGGACACATCACCAGCCAGTTCATATTAGGGATGGGACTTAAGGATGACTATGCCAGGTTAGGCAACAGCAGCTATCAGAGCGAGCTGAAACTGGAGACAGAACCAATACCAGGCCAAGCCAGGCTACAGCATCCACTGGTAGATGCCAAGGAGAGACAAGCCACACCAGACAAGCACATGCAAGACAGGGGAAGGTGTGCAAGCCCAGCAGGCGAGTAGTGGGGGCTCCCTTGCTGTTCCTGCTCCTGAGTGGGAGGGCTGGCTGAGTGGGGGCAGGCTAAGCTGGGCAGGGCAACACCTGTTGGCCTGCATGTGAACTGGATTAAGGGGAGAGCCAGGCTGGGGTAACTGATTGTATCCACTGGTACAGCCATGAGCCAGAGTAAAGGCAAATGGGTTGGCCTTTGCTGCAGTATCAGCAGGCAAGTGTTGGACCTGGGGGGCAAGTTCTATTGAGCTACACTATAGAAGCACCTGGAGTGTGCAAGATCCGGGGCAGGGAGTAGGCCCATTGGGGAGGTTGTGGGCACCTCTCTGATGGGCACCTCTCTGATGGGCTGCAGCTCCCACTGGTGAACGTGAGAACCAGGACTGGGAACAGGCCTGGTTGGACAGCCAGTGACACCCAATGGCAGGAGTGTGGTCTAGATGGTGGAATCGGCTGGGTTGAATTAGGCTTCAACATCCAATGAGCTGAATGGGTTGTGGAACAGACTGGACCAGTCCACTGCACATGTTGGTAGGCAGAGGAACCACAGTGATGGGTTGGTTCAGGGAAGATTACTGGGGATCGCTCTGACTAGGATTCAGCTCCCCCTGGTGTACATGAGAGCTGAGCATGTGGTGGACGTGGTAGGGCTGGACCAGAGCACCCACTGGTTTGCAAAAGAAAGAAGAACAAATTGATCAACTACCCCAGTGAAAAGTTGACAGCAATCTTCTGAGCGAATGGAGACACTGACGTGGACTCTGTCAGCCAAATGACCTTGGAAGGATTTCCTCATCCTTGTAGCGGCAATATCAACAGCATCTCAGAATTACTGAAACCACTTGAACGCAACCCTCAGAACATGCTCCACAATGGGACCTTGGGATGACACTGTGTACTGGGGAGCCTGGGCATGGTCTCTCACATTGTATCCTTTCCTCCCCAGATATAGAAGAAAAAGAAAATGTATAAACAATGGTTTTGCCAACTTTCCCCTGATCCTTGACCACATCCTGACCAACTACATAGACTGAATAAAAGTACCAATATAAAAGTACCAATCATGGGGAAAAATTTTTTTACAAGTTAAAAATAAAAAAATAAGGAGGCTGTGCAACAGGATGGCGAGTTGGACGTCCATCTGTGTTGCTGAAAGCCCATATGTGCACTGGTTCCAGTCCTGACACTTTTATCACTACATTGGCCATAATAAAATTATTATTTTTTCATAATGTGATTGGTTTTTTTTCAATTTATTTTTATTTGCAAGGCATACTTTAAGAGAAAATCTAGAAAGAAGAACAGAACATTACCCAGTCTTAAAAAAGAGATGAAATTCCAGCCCTAGCACGGTAGCCTAGCGCTAAAGTCCTCACCTTGCATGCGCCAGGATCCTATATGGGCGCCAGTTCTAATCCTGGTGAACCTGCTTCCCATCCAGCTCTCTGCTTGTGGCCTGGAAGGCAGTGGAGGATAGTCCAAAGCCTTGGGAATCTGCACCCACATGGGAAAACCAGAAGAGACTCCTGGCTCTTGACTCTAAGTCGGTGCAGCTCCAACCGCTGCAGCTACTTGGGAAGTGATCTTTCTCAGGCCCGGCACCATAATGGTTAAGGTCCTCACCTTAAACACGCTGGGATCCTATATGGGCGCCAGTTCTAATCCCGGCAGCTCCACTTCCCATCCAGCTTCCTGCTTGTAGCCTGGGAAAGTAGTCAAGCCCAAAGCCTTGGGACCCTGCACCTGCGTGGGAGACCTGGAGGAGGTTCCTGGCTCCTGGCTTTGGATCAGGGCAGCACCGGCCTTTGAGGCCACTTGGGGATGACGAATCGTCAGATGGAAGATCTTCCTCTCTGTCTCTCCTCCTCTCTGTACATCTGCCTTTCCAATAAAATAAATCTTAAAAAAAAAAAAAAGATCTGTCTCTACTTCTCTCCGTATATCTGACTTTCCAATAAAAATAAATCTTAAAAAAAAAAAAAAGATTAAATTCTGACATGGGCTTCATACAATACAGATGAACCATAAAGACAATAGGCTAACTGAAATAATATATATTGTAACAAAAAAGAACAAACAAGGATTGTAGATATGTGGAGAGACTAGAAGAATCAATCTCTCTGAGACAGAAAGAAGAATGGAACATCCAGATGGGGGATAATTAGCTAGCTGGTGCAGCGTTATTGTCTTAAGAGAGTAAATTCCAGAAAAGGATGGTGATGATGTTTCCATCACAATGTGAATATACTTAATGCCACTGAACTATACAGTTAACAATGCTTAAAATCATAAATTTTATTATTATATGTACTGAAGAATTTAAAAAGGAAGCTTACCTTTTATCCAAAGCCCGTAATACTTTAGCAAAAACTTCCAATTCACAAAACTCACTGCCCAGTTGACATAAACGTCCCTGTTGGTAAAGCTGAAGGAACAGAAAAAAGTTTTTTTTAATTCTAAAATTTATTTCAGTTTCTAGTTTAATCTTATTTTATGAATACAACAATATTTATGAATATAAAGTCATGATGACTACAGATATTATCAGGAAATAATGCCTATCCCAAAAGAAATGTAATACTATTGAACAAAATCCTACAATGCATATGAAAATAGCTAAATGGGTACATATAAACACTTAGAATGATACTAGGATACAGAAAGTACTATAAAGTGCTAATTGTTAGTTTTTTTAAGATTTCATTTATTTTTATTGGAAGGCAGATTTACAGAGATCTTCCACCTGTGGTTCATGCACAAAATGGCTGCACCACAATAAAAATCTCCAGTTGTTCTGTGAAGATAACATTCTGCTTCACTGTACTAAGCATATGCTGATCCCCATCCCCTCTCCTTCAACAATCAGCATGCATTTCTGGCAACATTCATTACGGATTTGTGTTAAAATAAGGCCTTAATTTGATTTGATCTCTATTCTGATTAAGGATATACATCAGAATGCATTGGTTTATAGTACTTTTTCTTGCCTTCAAAGTTATCGGGTCCATTTGGTGAAAGATCCTGTATTCTTTATGAAAGCCATATTCTTGCACCCAGTGCAGTAGCCTAGTGGCTAAAGTCCTTGCCTTGCATGCACTGGAATCCCACATGGGCGCCGGTTCTAATCCCAGCAGTCCTGCTTCCCATCTAACCCCTTGCTTGTGGACTGGGAGGGCAGTCGAAGATGGCCCCAAGAGCGTAGCATCAGCATTTGCAGTCACTTGGGGAGTGAATCATCGGATGGAAGATCTTCCTCTCTGTCTCTCCTCCTCTCAGCATATCTGACTTTGCAATAAACAAAAAAAAAAAAAAAAAAAAAAAAGAAAACCACGTTCTAAAAAAAAATTAAAACCCCACAAAGTTTGGTAAGTGGCATGCTTGGAAAACAATCTAAAACTCTTGAAACACTCTGAAGAATCCATAATGGCATCAATTGATCTGCACTGTTTTCTGGAAACTTATTTTTGGTGTTATTTTTGATAATTTTTCATTAGCTATCCAGTTACATTTAATGAAAAAGTTCTTGAACATATTAGCTTTTAGCACTAATAATTTGTAAATGGGCCAGCATTATAGCTCAATTGGCTAATCCTTCCCTTGCAAGTGCCAGGATCCTGTATGGGCACCTGTTCCTGTCCTGGCAGCCCTGCTTCCCTCCAGCTCCCTGCTTGTGGCCTGGGAAAGCAGCAGAGGATGGCCCAAAACCATGGGACCCTGTACAGGTAGGAGATCTGGAAGAAACTCCTAGCTTCAGCTTGGCTCGGCTCTGGCTGTTGCGTCATTTGGGGAGGTAACCAATGGATGGACAGATGATCTTTTTGTCTCTCCTTTTCTCTGTAAATCAGCCTTTCCAATAAAAATAAATAAATCTTTCAGAAAAAAAAAAGGGGGAAGACAGGAAGGGAAGAAGGAGCTTATATCCATATCACAGTGCCTAAGTCTATATGCCTGGTTCCACTCTCAATTCTTGCTTCCTTCTCATGTGCATTATCAGGCTACTCCACGTAGGAGATCTGGAGGAAGTTCCTTCCTCCTGGCTTCAGATCAGCACAGCACCAGCTGTTGCAGTCACTTGGGGAGCGAATCATCAGACAGAAGGTCTTCCTCTCTGTCTCTCCTCCTCCTCTCTGTATATCTGACTTTGCAAGAAAAATAAAATAAAAAGAAAAGAAACCCCAATGTGGAGAAGAATGTCCTGAAGGTATTGCTTGAGTGGTTGTGATAGCTGAGATGGTGTCCGTTTCACTGCTCCAAGGTTGAGGAAAAGATTCACTGGCTGACAGTCCACCGCTCCAGTGCATCCATTCATCCACTTCCTGCTAAAGCTCAGGTAGGAGAATTGCCCAGTCTGTTCTCTCCATTCTGACATGTCCTCTGCAGGCCTAAATAAGCAGGCTGTCTTGACCCCATTATGCAACTGGGCACGCTGTCTGCTGCAGAGGCATCAGCATTCAAGAATGACCAGTCCCAACATACACACCCCTTGATTAGACCACAAATCCTATGATTCTTATTGTGGCCGGAGTTTTGAGTCCAGCAGTCTAGCTGTGGAGTCCCCAAGAAACCTCACCCAGAGTGATCCCAGATCCGACCCTTGCATGTGCCAGTCAGTACAGGTTCCAGTTTAGTCCATCACCCACATCAGCCTACACACAAATGTGATAAATGTAGTTGCCCAGTCAATTCCGCTCCCATGCCCATATCCTACCAGCAAACTGACAGATGCTGCAGTCCAACCCAACTCACTGTGCCACAAACCTGGCCTTACACACACCAGCAGGAATTGCAGCCTAGCTAGAGCGACCCCCCCACCAGGCCCACCACTGGCTCCACTTCCTGCATATGCCAATACGTACAACAGACTAGCCCAGTCTGTGCTGCATCCCAATCAGGCTCTCATATACACCTATTGGTACAGCTCACGCATCCACCCACCCCAAAACCCAGTCCACATGAATGTCAATGGTGCTGTTGGCTGGTCTAGCCTGGTCCACCCTAAGCCCTGCCTCTCATGCGCTCCAGCAGAAGCTGCAGCCCAGCAGAGGAGCCCACAGTTTCCCTATTAGGCCCACTTCTAGGCCCAGATCTTGCACTTTCCAGAGGGTATTGCATTCCAGTCTGACACAACTTGCACCCTATGCTGGCACTTGCCAGTGAATGCCGCAGCAAAGCCCAGCCAGTCAGCACTTATCCTAGCTCTTGCATGCACCAGCATTTGCAGTGGCCTGGCTTATTCTGGCCCTCACCAAAACCCAGCACACATGTAGGCTGATGCTTGCTGCAGCCCTGCCCAGCCCTAATATGAACTGGCAGGTATTGTATCCCAAACTGGCCTGGCCTGACCTGTGTCTTGGCCCACCCGCAGACCTGACCCACATGCATGCTGACGAATATTGCAGTCAGCCTGGCCTGGACTTTCCTCTTCTCAGTTCTCATGCTCACCAGCCAGCGTTGAGTCTTTACAGAGGGGTCCCCAAAGCTCTCCTATGAGACAAACTCCCAGTCATGGATCTTGGCACACCAATGGGTGTTTGACTCAGCCTGATTTGGCCCACCTCCTATCCTGACCTTCACTGGGGGGCAGAGTACTATGAGGCCTTGTGAGACCAGCCCACACCAATTCCAGCTCTCACCAGTGGATGCTACACTCCAGCCCTACCTGGCCTGCTCCCAGACCTGCTTTGTGTCTCAGCTGCTCCACTTCCCATCCAGCTCCCTGCTTACAACCTGGGAAAGCAGTTGAGGACAGCCCAAAGCCTTGGGACCCTGCATCCACATGCGAAACCTGGAAGAGGTTCCTGGCTTCATATCCTCTCAGCTCCAGTCATGTAGCCACTTCGGGAGTGAAGGAGTGCACAGAAGATCTTTCTGTTTCTCCTTCTCTCTGTAAATATGACTTTCCAAAAATAAAATATTTTTTAAAGTTTAAAAAATAATTTTTCCTGTTTTTGAACTTTATCTAAATAGAAACTGCACTGTAAAACTGGTTTCCAAACTGTGCACCAAGATTCCCAACAACATTTCAGGATATAAAAAAATGTAGAAGCCTGCACTGTAGCATAGTAGATTACGCCCCCCATTCAAACCCTACATTCCACATAACTACTAGTGAGAGTCCAGCTGCTTCACTTTCAACACAGATCCACTAATGTGTCTGGAACAGTAGAAGACACACAAGCAGTTGGACCCCTGTGACCCACATGGGAGACTCAGATGGGATTTTTAGCCTCCTACTTCCAGTCTAGCTCAGTCAGACATCACAGCCATTTGGAAAGTAAACCAGAGGAAATAAATGCTCAATGGCTCCTTTGCTCCCTCCATAACTCCACCTTTCAAATAAATAAAAATTTTAGACATAAACCAACTAAAAATATGCAGAGGCTAGCATTGTGACATGATGCCAGCACGTCATAAATGTCAAGTGATGCCTTGGTTGCTCCACTTACAGACCAACTTCCTACTAACATGCCTAGGAAAGAAGTGGAAAATGGTTCAAGTGCTTGAGACCCTGCCTCACACCTTGAAGATATGGATGGGGTTCTAAGCTCTTGGCTTCAGCCTGGCTCAGCCTTGGCCATCAGGACCATTTAGGAAATTAATGAGTAGATGGAAGATATGTCTGTTTCTATTTCTCCCTCAAACTCTGCCTTTCAGATAAATGTTAATTTAAAAAAAAAGTAGTAGTAGTAGTAGGCTGGAGCCACAGTATAGTAGCTTAAGCTTCCACCTGTGGTGTCAGCTCCATACAGGTGCCAGTTCCTTTGCCAACTGTTCCACTTCTGATTCAGCTCCCTATTAATATGCCTAGGAAAGTAGCAAACGATAACCAAGTCCTTGGGTCTCTGTATCCACATGGGAGCCCCAGAAGAAGCTCCAGTCTCCTGGTTTCCTGGTGAGGCTGCCTATTTGGGAAGTGAATCAGCAAATGGAAAATAACTTCTCCTCTTCTACCTTAATAAAATTATGATAATAATAATAATGTTATACAGTGTCCAAAACACACAAGAGCATCTCAGGGTCCCAAGGCTTTGGGCCACCCTTGACTGCTTTCCCAGGCCACAAGCAGGGAGCTGGACAGGAAGTGGAGCTGCTAGGATTAGAACCAGCATATGGGATCCCAGCATGTTCAAGGCCAGGACTTTAGCTGGTAGGCCACGGCACTGGGCTCAAAATAATACTATTTTATCACTCAACTTTTTAAAGTAGATTTTAATTCGCTAAGCATAAATATTTATTTGGATCTCACTACTTAGTAAAACAAATTATTCTGGTCTGAGGGTGGCATGAACCAAGTGCTGTAGAGAGAGAAAGTCTCTGCTACGTACAGTAACCCCAGCTTACCCACAGGGAATATACTCCAAGACACCCAGTGGATTTGTGCAATCATAGGCCATTTTTTTCTACCTATCATGTAACAATGCCACA